CTGTCGCGCTTTCATCACGTGACTATGAATACTAAGAAATCCCTGGATCGCTTAGCTAGTCTAAGGATCCCTATTTGCTATAAGGTCTTTCTGATGTGCTTGTCCTTTCAGGGCGCCGCCTGGACTTCACTTGTCCCGTGCTAACACGTGATTCGTGACAGTTTAGGCAGACATGAAGCATTTAGGCAGCAGAGCTATAAGTGGATCAAATCAGGAAGTGGAGCAAAAGAGAAAGTAGACCCAGCACAACAATAAGCTACAAAGGAGTAGATAATTTAGGCTATTACTATACCCTGCCCGAAGGACTTAATTTAGGTACTATAAGTATAAAAAACACCTTTATAGCGTTAAATACTAGGATAGGTTCTATAAGTATAAGGTAGTCGCGGATATAAACGTTTATACTACTATTAAAGAACGTAAGGAAGTGAGTATAATACTAGCTAGGTAAAGGTTATCGATTTATAGTATTTTTATGTTTATAATTAAATTGTTTACTTTCTAATAATATTTATACTTCTAATAAGACATAGAGTTTAAATACTCGGCACGTCCTAATTAAATATAGCGGTACTACGGCTCGCTTAAAGCCCTGTACTAAGCCTGGGCGCTAAGTGATTTACAGACTAAGGGATAGTACTACTATATAGTAATTACGCTAGAAAGTCGCCTAAATTAAGGCTCCTATATTGTGTTCCCGGTACGTCCCCTTGTCCCTATGAACATAGAAACTCGCTGATTAGCTTATACTTCTACGATTGTTTTCTTAGGTACGTAATTTATATCTAGAGTTCTAAATAGCTTCAAGTTCTACCCTCGGAAGAGCTAGTAGGAGGTCCTTAGATAAAGTAGCATCAAAGTGCAGGCCTACGAGACATACCTTTTTAGGACTTCACCCACGGGCAGGGACAAAATAGGGTGTAAAAGTGAGTTTACAGGGCTAAAGGCCATTGAAGTCGTATAATCGAAATATGCTTACGAACAACTAAACAAGCCTTGTTTAGTAAGAAAGTCAAGTTTTAAAATAGTCTCACTAAGTAACCTTAAGTATCGTCGCATATAATGCTGCAAGACGATAACAGCCTAGTGTCTCCGACCATCTCCTGGTTTATCTAAAAGAAGAATTTAGATATCCTTCTTATTGGGGGTTTAATGGCGTAGAGCCCTGGTCTTTACTAGCACGTGTATTTAAGCAATTGTATTTGGTGGGGAGCTATTATTTTGGCCTTTATTTTCAAAAGATAAAAATAAATAAAAACACTATTTTATTTTTTAGAGCCTACCTAGCTAATAGAACAAAAGCCTGCAGAAAGGAAATGTACGTAAAGTAGAGTATAAACTATATGTTTTGTAGGCTATCTTGGTACTATTTGCTACTTCCGAGCACTACTTGTTGGCTTCGGAGTATATAAGAGTTAAGTATTTATAGTGAGGTGTGATTACTAAGCTTAGGGTCGACCAATCAGAAGATTTAGCATTTTTGGATTTTTTTTTTTTTTTGGATTTTTTGTACACCCGCGAGAAGGGTTGGTGACACCAAGCCGGCGCGACAGCAAGCCGGCGGTTCTGTACAACCAACAATTAAAAATACTATTTGATCGTAGTTCTATTGCTTTACAATTATCTAATAATATTACAATTTAAATTGAATTTTTCCGAGCGTGAGTTGTTAAGTTATTAATTATTAGTTATAACTCATAGGACCGCCGGCTTGCTGTCGCCAACCTTTCCCAGCGGGAAGGTAAAAAATCGAAAGAAAAAAAAATTAATCCAAAACTCCTTAATTCTCTGATTGGTCGGAAAAACTCTTACTAATCACACCTCACTATAAGGATTTATTTATTATATACTCTGAAGCCAACAAGTAGATTATCTAGACTACTACCTATGATAGTTGTGAGGTAATATTATAGGAGTCCAAAAGCATACTACTTCTACTTCTAAAAGCGTTCATAGGTGGACGAAGTATAAAGTGTGGGAATACGACCAAATTGGGCACAGTTAGTATTCGGCTTATCTAATCGGGCGATTCTGATACTCTATTTTCGAAGTAAAAAAAGCCTAAGCTTTAACCATGGTCACTTTTCACATCATTTAACTTGTTATCTTGGGAGGCTATCGGTAGTTACACATCAGAGTCGTGGCTTACGTGCTCGTCGATCAATAATAGGTGCTTCATGTTTGGGGAAGTTCCTTGTTTACCCCGCATTCAAGATATCTCCTGGGGTAGGCGTCCTCCGGATTTCGTTATCTACGTCGCACTCGAAAGTTTCACCAAATACTCGGTAATGCCATTACTTCTCATTCCGAGAAAGCCCCCAGAATATTTCGCGCTTGGCTAACTATAGTTTGGAGACATTTCAAGGGGAAACCCTCTCGCCCAAAAAACAATACAGTATGTCTCAGCTAAATACCTCAATCATAAAAGACGTAAGAAACAAAACTCTGATTCAACTGGCTGAAATAGGCTAGGTTAGCTAGGAGTCCGGCATAGGACGTTGGTAGACGATCTTGAGGTCGTTCTATATATTGGCCTTGAGCAAAAGATCCTTTTGTCCTATCTTTTTAGCGGTGAAAGTGTCGTGCCTCAATATCCTATAGGTCACCCTTCTTAACGTTTATTGGGCACTTCGCTCTATACGTGGACTATGTCTTGGGTGACCCACATGATATGCCAAAAAACATGATGACGATGATGATGATGATGATGATGATGATGATGATGATGAGGCACAATACCCCGATGGAAAACATTCTTAGTAGTACCAATAAGCATAGCGAAGGATCGTAGGACTCGGAAAAATAATAACCAATGCAAATACGTGATAGACTATTTGATTGGTACCACAACTTATAATCCTCTTTACCGCAAATGCAGATATACATATATGTATATGTACTTATCAAAACTCATCAACAGGTCCCAGAGATCAGCGAGCAGATAACAACCGATCCATTCCAGCATCTTTCACTGTTCAATTCAACAAAGTTGCATGCCGAAATTGTCAATTGGAAGATCCGAAAAGAAGTAAGAGATCAAGAAGTTTTCTAGGATAATTATAGAAGATCTAAGTATAAAATAGAAAGGATCGGCGATGAAAGATGAATTTTCAAGGCATCTGCCGTGGGGTGTTGTCTCGGAAATTCCGAATACTTGAAATATAACTCTCTCCAGCTTCTTTCAAATACCGTCTGAGAAAACGATTCATTTTTCAACGTGTTTTCCAACAATACAGTGAGAGAAACAACCCCAAGTCAAAGATTCGCTAATTGGTCCTCGTATTTGATTGGCTTCATTTCCAATAAATTGCTTGATCCTTTGGGCAAAGTCGATCTTGGTGATCTTGGTGATCTTGGTGGTGCAATTTCATTGGCTATGAACTCACACGGTTCCACACCGGTCCGATGGGAAGCGAGATATCCATTTTTTGCCAACTCAACTTCCACACTACACTCACATTCGACCCATCAATCCAACGACAACCACAAGCCGCCTGAACAACCTCAGACGACATCAGAAATGGGCAAAAATGGGAAGTTTGGCAAAAACTACGGCAAAGTGGTTGGGAAACCGGGTGACGGTAGACCTGAGTGGAAGGGCCCCGCATATGTGAAGAAGACCGCTCCATCAAAGTCAAAGGCCATACCGACGATCGACGAAGAAGACGAATATGAACCAAACGTTCCAATAAGAATACAACAGCTTCTTCTGGATATTTTCAGAGGTTCGCTCCATACTGTTCTTGTATCTGACCAACTACAACCCATACTGCAAGAAATTAAAACTGCGCTTTTCGAAAGGCAATTCGTTCGTGCGTTCGCCAAGAAGGAGCATCTTGAGGCCTACGCAGCACGATGGAGTCCAAGTCGCTCGCTCTGCTATCAGTCCATTCTGATCGACATAGAAGAACACCTGACTGAGATGGCTAGTTTGGAAGCGGACGTCAAACCAAAAACAGCCTCAACTCAGTGTCTCAACGCCATCTCATTTGGAGGCGGAGCAGCAGAAGTGATGGCGTTTGGTGGTTATGCTCGTAGCTTGCGAGACGCTGCGATCGCCGAAAACACTTCAAATGGAGAGCCTTTAAGTGGGTCGTCAATTAGTTCAGTCCCAGGTATCAATTTGTTACTGGTAGATTCAGCTGCGTGGGAAGAGGTAGTGAAGAAGCTACACGCTGGACTTACCGAACCACCGCCACTATCAAAATATGCCAGCGCAGCTGCAAAAGCAGCAAACAAGTCGCTTATCGACGCCGAATCGCTAAACCCTGAATTCCATGTGACAGATGTGTTGAGCATGTCATTGGACCAAGTCCAAGAGCTTGTTGGGGACACGCCCAAATTTCTTAGCTTACTCTTCACCTTGAACGAGCTATATACGGAATCGATCAGCAAGACTACGGCATTTCTTCTGAATCTCACAATGGCCGCCCAAAAGGGATCGTTACTACTGGTTGTCGATAGCCCTGGGAGCTATTCTATGACAAAAGTCGGAACAGAGGAGAAGAAATACCCTATGTAAGTTTCTCTGTAGCACATCTTCTCCTCAAAGTTCAGTAACGATTGATCTTGGCGTGGCTTCTTATGTAAGGGATACCGCAGCTTGGGGCGGTTTACATGATTCAAGTTCGCTTTCGTGGAAATTCCTACTGTTTTCTGTCCATTGGAATACTAATTCTCAAAAACAGGAAATTTCTCCTTGACCACACATTACTCGAGACCCAAAAAGTCAAAGAGGATGGCGATGATCGCAGGAGAGAAAGCCCCCCAGACTGGGTAAAGCTGGAGTCTTCAGATGCAAGATGGTTTCGTCTACCTGCAGAACTTCGCTATCCTATACCACTGGAAAACATGCGGTATCAATTACATCTCTACCAACGAATATGATGATGACATCCGTCGTTGGTGGAGACGTCTTACTTCATAAGACTAGAACAGCGCATGGGAATTAGAGCGTAACTTACAGTGCGACGTAAGTAAGAAATAGCAAATATTACCCGTGGCCATCTAACATTGCTCTAGGACAGTGCTTCAGAAACTAATACTTAATCGCGGTAGCGCAAAAGATGACCACTGCACTGAGAAAACCCATACTTTTTTTTGGCTATGAGAACGAGGCTTGAGGTACAGTTGTGGTGGATGGCGGTTGGTTGCGACCACTTTTTTAGATTCGCTTCTATCGAGGCCCAGGACGTTGCTGGTGAATCAATCCCGTTTACACACTTAACTTCCAAGGCACTTTACGACCACGGCACGTTACAGAATCATGGTTCAAATTGGAATTTCGGCTGTTGCGGGTTTCATAATATCTCGGTGGAACTGTAATAATTTATCACAATAGAACATTTAATACTATATTTTCCTGATAAAACGCGAATTGCCGAACTTCAATCACGATTACCACAGCCCAGATAAAAAAGTACTCCTTCCTGGATTATTGAGCTAACTCTTAGACAGCATCTACTACTCAAACGTAATACCTAGTTCTCAGCACTTATCTATCTACTTATATCCACTCACAATTAATCTTTCATGTTAGCTTAAGCCACAAAACAGCTTCATAACCGATTATCTCCATCCAAATTATGTCCATCTACCCCATATAGTCGATTATCCTATTCCAGCAAGACTATCAGAGATTCAAAGCCGGCTTCCTCTCCCTCCGCTCCATTTCAGCATTTCATATATATCTTTTCACACAAAGTCATGCCTACCTACCGGTCCCCCAAAGCCATGAATAATACGTAGACAACGCGACATGTTGATCCGCATTCCCCTATACGCAGCTTGAGCATGTAATTTACTCGACGCCCCAACGCTGGCATCACAAACTACTAAGGCTGTGCCAATCGAGACTGCATGAAGATATGTATCATCGCCGCTATTTCAGTCTCCTATGGAACTACACTCGAAGCAACAACAAATGCACTCAGGCTCCGACAGCCTCAAGTCACGCCACCCTCTTGCTCGCCGCAAGATGATTGGTCGCACAAAACAAAATACCCGCAATTTAAGCGACAAAGATATAGATACCTAAACGGCACATTTTCTGCCACCGAAAACTGGGATTAAACCTGTCCGCCTGGCCCAGTCGGTTAGTGTGTGCATTCCCATAAGCGCCAATTCCCAAAGCACCAACCCCGCTAACTGTTTCGAAAATATATAAAAAAATGAGGAAAGAGAGTGTACGCCGCCACAGGCCCGCGAGGAGATTTGCTAAGCTTAATGTAAAACTCAGTTCGTCTGGTTTTCGACCCTGCCGCCGAATGGTGATGGTCTTTTTGCCATTTTTGAACGTGATCTCTTCTTTTTTGGGGAGAAGTTACGCGGATGGTGGAGCGTACTGAAATTTTGGTGGTTGATGCCGTGTCGCTGGACTGGACGCGTTGAGTGAATGAGCTCAAGCTTCGCCCAACACTGCCTCTGGAGGAAGGGGTTGTAGCAAGCTTAGTCATTTTTGGAGATTTTTGTATGATAATGATTTGATGTGATGCAGTGATGTTTTGATCTATGAACATACGGAAATTGTGCCCACATGGAGCGATGCAGACAGAAGCACGAACATTTCGCGTGAAACCCCCCTCTTTGAGTTCTTGGGTCACGTTTTGGAATAGGAAGTATTCTTGATAGGTTAACTTGACAAAGACTATTCTGTATGATATAAATCGTTTCTCCCACAGTGTAGATAAATCGAAGTACTGTACAGCTCCCAGTAAGTGTATAACAAGGAAATGGAAAGATCTCGGAACGTGGATTGTTTTTCCAAGAATTCGAGCATTATTCTCGCATTATATTAATAGAGGAAACCAATGAAACGCTTTTTACTAGTTACTGACAACCACACTGAAAGTGGTAACCACCGTCCCTAAGAAGGAGAACTTGATTGAAAACGGTGGCGCGAAGTGGGCTGTCTCTATGCCAAAGAAAAGCGCATACCGTAGGTAAGTGTGATGTAACATAAAATTAATTGATTTGGGAGGAACAAGAAGGAAAGGATGGGCAATTTCTCAATATCGCTGATTTGTTGAATTCTAAGTGGACAGCCAGCAGACCTGCAGCTCCTTTTGACTCAAAATGAGTGAAATTGCACTTTCACCGAGATTCTGGCCTTGGCCTGAAAATCGTTTTTCAGCATTACACGTGTACCCGAGTGCTTGACAAGCAAATTGCACTTACGAAAGCACTCAGGCGGGACGAATGGAGAAAGTTCCATAATTAAAGTGTAAACTTTCGAGACCTGCCAGTTGAGGTCGAACGATCTCGCTTAACTGGGGAAGGCGCGATGCGGCTGTATCCATTAACGGAAAGAGCAAGTCTGATCTCGCTTCCATTTTGACTTTACACTATCTAGGTAAGCTTCAGACGCCAAAAGCTCCCCAACACGTCTACATTCGACCTCGACCTCGCTGATCGTTGCTCCCTCAAGAACAAAAACACAACACCAGCACCGCGGGACCTCGGGAGATCTGCGCTGAATGTGTATTGGTGTCCTCATTTTCCTTCCCATCGATAAACTGAGTGGTACAAGACAGAGTGCTGTGAGACAAGCAGACGACTTAAGGAAGGCGTATGGGTAGCCCAACGTGGCAACGACAGAGGAAACGGAGAGCCTCATGAACCTTAATTAATATGGATATGGAAATTGAGGGGAATTTTCGATGAGTACCCGTGTCCTTTGCCCACTTTTGCAGAGTACTGATGTCATCAGAAAGAAATTGGACCATGGCCGTTCACAAGCACATGTCAAGATAACTGTAATTGGGCTCTGCTTTGCCCAGCAGCGATAGCGGTAGTCCCTGGAGATCTTTCCAACAACCAGCAAATTCCTCCGAAAATCGTCATGAAAATTGTGGGAGATCTGATATTTCCGACAATGATACGACCCACGTGGCGGCGCCAATAACTGAAACATGAAAAACGTCCAAAAGGAGAGAAAACTTCAAGAGTCATCGTTTGAACCAATTCTCCCCTCCCCGCATCTCGAATCTTCTTTTTTTGCCGCGGAAAGCCGAAGAAAATAGGCCTGGTGGGTGGTTGTATTTGCCCACAAAGTTCGGATGGATGAGCAAGGAAACATGATCATTCAAAAGCATTGTGGAGACCTGCGTGTCCCTTGCACGTCCCTGGACTGGGACGAAAACTAAAAGTACCCCACGCCCATTGCATTATGCTCTATTCTGGTGCAACCAACCATTGTCTCGACCGTTGGTGAGAATGGAGGGTTGGAGGGCACAGTACACGAAAACATTGGTCGGGTGAGTATATCTGTTGCATACCGCGGCAATTGGCTTGGGAAGGCCGTTTTCCAAGGAACAACCACACTTATGCATTTAATCTGGCTGTTATCATCACCTAGACATGGGCATGCAGCAGTATCTCTTGGTGAGGTAACGCTGCATCTCATGCATCCAAGCACCCACGCAACTTTGACGCAGAGAACGTTGAAAGAAGCCATACGAAGCCTGGACGACCGAAGGGGAAAGAGGGGTAGAAAGCAGTGCCCGGCTCTTCAAGATTCTTCGATGGAATTAAAGCCAGAGTGGCAAGAGTGTAAACACGCAGTAGTAGAAGTAATATATCTCTCCAGATTATTGGTGGGTGGCCCAGGCAGGGCGTAGAGCGTGACGCAGAGTAGCGGTCTTGAAGATGACATGCGAGGGTGAGAAAGGAGATGTGAAGGATCCGCAGAAAGAACTGATTTTCCCTCAGCCATCAAGGTTCTTTTGTACTACACTACATCGGCATTAACGGCACATTATTCTCTATTCCAAGAGTCTAAGTGAGCACCGCAGATTGCCAATCATCTTCATCTTTGGAGCTCAGGGGCTCAATGTTGGTGGCTTGCGTTCTTGCAGGTCTGGTCTGGTTGGTATTGCTCTTCTTCTGCGGGCGATGCCGGGCGTGGTGATGCCCTCACGGAATCACGGGCGTACAAATCCTTGCCATTTTACCTCGCAAGGCTCTAGCTCAACTCAAGCTTCCAGCTCTGCAGCCCGTGACAATGCATCATATGCTGAACACCAATGCGGTGTTGTTTGAGAGTCACCGCTTTATGCGCTCACTCCTGTGCCCAGCGTGCTGCGAGTGGGGGAAGGACGAAAAGAGCGTTATCAATTGCCATTGCAGTATCAACAAGACCAATATTTCTATAATTCTGGGGACGGACAGGCATGACGCTGAGCTGCAAGCAGCACAGCGCGGCGGGCAACCCCACAATCTTCGGGACCCTTCAAATCAAGCTGCAGGTGCAGATCCCCTTGGGTACAAGGCAAGTTTTCTCTTCTCTCCACCGAATTCAATGAGCTCCAATCACCCGTAGCCTCTTTTGGAGATGACGGCTTATGGTGTTGCTCCCAATTCCCGATCCCCACTAACGTGTGCTTTGCCTTGCCCTGCCTGTGCTTGCCCTCCCCTCTTAGCCTTGGGTTTTTATGGTTATCTTCATCGCAAGGGTTCTCCATCAATCAGAACTCTTGTAGTCTACTCTTAATAACGAGCCACGGACAAAACCTCACTTGCCCCTTTCTGACGTATCTCCTTCCGTCTCGCTTCCCAGGCGGGCCTCCTTTTTGGGCTCTGTGATCTCCAGCGGGCTGGGGCTGGCGTGGGGTGTCGCTGAACTTTCTCCAATAGACTCCAAAGCGCCAAAATGATTAGGCAATACTATTATCGTTAACCCTTCTGATACCACCAGGCAACCGAAGGAAAGTGGGAAACGGAAAGCCTCACTTTTCCTTTGTTTGCATCCTCGTACACCGCTGTAGTCCTGCAGATATTGCTAATGGCTGTGCATATTTTTGTGTACAGATCGCCTGGGTGAGATAAGCTCTAGGGGACCGCAGCTTTCATTTGAAGGATACCTAAGGATCAGATTAGAGTGGGGTATGACCACCTGATTTTCATGGTTGATATCTTTTCTGGAAAAAGGGTCATAATCTGTGCCCGCTTGTTCGGGTTGCAAATAAACCTTGGCTGATGAGCCCGACGATCCGAATATATAAACATGCCCCCCCTCTTCCTTTTAACACAGATAATTTTACTCATCATCACCACGGCTCAAGTCACACTCTATTGTACTCGAAAACTATTCCATCTATCACTCATCACTTGATACATCCTCAAAAAAGGTCAACCAATCAAATACCCACAACCAAGCAATATCATCCTTCATAAGCCTCCTTACCTCAAACTCCTCATCCACAAATACTCATCAAGATCTTCCACACAAATTCTTCGTCTCTACAAACTTCAAAATCCATTCAACTCTCAAGAAACTCTTGCAACCAAAATCATCAATCATCCAACCCCGCCCCCACCTCACAAAATGGCCGTCACAACACCAAAGCCTCTCGTCAACAACTGCTGCCCCCAATGCTGTGGAGAGGAAGATTACATGGATGATCATGAGTCTTGTGGTTGGTGTGATGTACCAAACTGCTTGTAATTGCGGTATCGACATCGAAACATTTGTCTTCTGAACCTCACGAGACCACCTCATTCGAGCCGCATTCGTTTTGTCCTGCGAGACACGGAGTAGGATTTGCTTTTTATTGACTACCGGCTTCTGTAAGAATTTTCTGCCGGCCGAGGGAGGCGTACTTTAATTTTTTGCTTTTTGGGAGCGTGTGGGTTTTTTTGCCGAGGCTTTGTTTTTGCCTTTTTTCATTTCTACAGATTTGTATTAGGGATATCGGACCTTTTTTTTTGTTACTGCATATCCAGGATGGATGGGAAATTTGGCTGGAGTTCTTGCCGATTGATGAAAGCGTTTCACAGCATTTGATGGGAATTTTTTGTTTTCTTGGGTGGGATGGGATGGGATTGGATGGGAAATTAGGTTAGCGATTTTGATAACTGATTGGATTTCAATGAATATTTGAAATGTTCTTTTTGAAATGCACGCATGTGCGTTTTGCATGTTGCAGATTATGTTGATGCCTTTTCGTGTTGCACGAAAGAATTTGGGAGATTGAGGGGGGGGGGCCTTGGACCGAGGTTGTGTGACGTTGGAATGAGGGTGTGGGGGATAGTTCTTTATTGGGGAATGCTTTTTGAGAAGGGGGTTATCAAAATTTGCTACACATTGTGCTAAAATGACCTGTAAACAAATATCCGTCTCTATTTCAGTCCAAGGTGAGATCCTACTCTAGTACTTGAAAGAATTGGCAGATCGATAGTCCCGTGATAGATTCCCAGAAGCCTGTTTGAAACTCTGTCAATCCTATGAAAGTGATGGGAAAGGAAGTATCGTATAATATCCATCTTACTCATCAGACTTTGATAAAGCAAGAAATTTTCCTTCCGCCTTAAGAACTACTTTATTGGCACTTTTCCCTCCTTCCCCCTCTCGTATTTTTAGAATCCTTTTCCCGGCCCGCGAGCGGAAATACAATACTTTGAGGGTACTCGATACTGACGTAAATATGAGCGAGCTTACATCTACATAGCATCCTTCACGTTCTATGCAAGTACTGTACATGTACAGTACATACTACGTACGTACCGTGATGGCGAATCGAATCCAGGATATGCTATCCCTTCTACTTCCAACCAACCAACCAAGCTAACCATTCCGTTAGTCAACCACTAACAAGCTCTTGTGACTTGCTAAACCTCGAATATCTCGACGTATGACATAGCCAGAGTACTAGATCGAAACCAACAAATGGCATTTTATCTGACATCAAACCAAACCAAACCCAACAAGAAGAAAGTATTCATAGTAAAGCATACCGGTAAGATCACGTGGGTAGAATTGAAAGATCCTTCGTCCATCTTCCTTGACTCCCATCCGAAGTATTTAATTCATAAACACCTAAGAAACATCCAGCATTTTCGTAAATCTTTTCTTATAGGATAGGACTTACTGTACCAGGCGAGGAGAAGCACTGAACACAGAAGGGTTTGTACAAACTTCAAAGTAAACTTGCAAGAACAGCGAATGGGAAATAGGTAGTAGTAGACGGTTGTAAGATCCGAGTACTGTATCACCCTATAATACGTGTGTGCATCTAAGCCGCCCCGGCCCCTGTGTGCTAAAGATAGAGTTGTAAGATGTTATCTTAGCAGGAAGACTCGCGTGATGTAAATGTTAAAATTTGCATGTGAGTTTGGAGTGATATAGGAATGAAAAATGATTGAATATATCTTGGTCTCTATTGAGCCAGGTGATTTGCGGCAGTTTGAGGGAATCTTTGGATAGGAATGGTTCTTGAAGTGCACTGTGCCAGCAGTAGTGATGATGATGTATTTTACTACGTAGATGAGCCCACGTATGACAAAACATGTAAGACAAGGTGTATATATATACGACATCAAGCTTTTCAATTTTCCATCCCTTATCCCCAAATACCCTAACTAAAGGTAAGAGAGAAAAATAAACGCCATGCTTACATTGGTATCTTAATTCATCGCGCTCTCTCATCTCAAGCAAAAGGAAAAGAAGACCTCTTATATCACACTTCCCGTACAGCCTGAAACCTCCCCCGCCCCGTACCCTTCAATCCAACGAGAGTCCCCTAAGATAAGCTCAAGAACACGGCCGAGATAGTTGCTTTATCATACTTAACATACTTCCCCCTGCCCTTATCGACCTCATGATATCGATCCCAGAACCGACAATAAAGCGGCTCAATCATCTGCTGCACCTCCCTTCCAGTCACCTCCCTGACCTCCCGTTCCATGCTAAGAGCTTTATGCTTCTGCACCAAATCATCGAAACTAGCATTGAAAAGACGGAATTTCTCTTTTACCGAGTCCTTGTCTTTACTTGATAGGCCTTTGAGGATGGCAGCTGAATCGATGGCATTAGCGGAGCCAGAGGGTGGTCGTGTACCACGGTTCGTGTACTGGACATCGAGGAGGTACGTGGATGGTTCGCGCCATGCTGAGGTGTAGAGTTTGAGGGCTTTGGAGCGGTGGCTTTCTATTATGGCCATACGGTTCGCGAGAAGAGGTTGAAGGTCTGAGAGGCGGACCATTCGATCGACTATTGTGGCATTGTTGGCGAGGAAGATTCCGAGGACGGGTTTGCCTTTGACCAATGTTTTAGCTTTGGCGTCCAGGCAGTTAAGAAGTTGGTCAATGGTATCAATGCCATATTTGGCAAATAGCTGTTTGCCATCCGCTCCAACATCGAAGGAACTCAGACTGGGTATATGATCTGAAGATTGATTAGGTGAGACATTAGACCTCCATCCGCCATCGCCAAGGGATATCATGATACTGGATATTGGGCGCAGGAATTCGACCATGTTCTGTAATCTTATCATTGTTTCTGAGGTCAATTGAAGAGCAGCTCCATCGGGTGGGATTCCAGGTAAAGCATTGACTCGTCGTCTTGTATCCTCAAGCAATTCACCGAGTGACGACTTGGCGGTTTCTCGCATAGGCTTCAGAGCTGCTGAAAATGATGGCCTGAGTTCCCCAGTTCTAGTCTCCAAATCTTGTGATAAGCTTGAAATAACCTCGACTATTTCATAGGATAAAAAGCAATCTGTCGTGAGATTGTTTTTGATATGAGCATTAAGCTCCCTGATCGTCCTCGCCAATTCTGAAATGGCTCCTTGACAGGTCAAATTGAAAACTCTTCCCCATTCTTCTCGCGAGAATAGTGCACATATATTGTCGTATTCGGCGAGAAAAGCCCCCTCCATTCCCTTCGCGTACGTTGCCATTCCATTTGTTCCCTGTCGATAAACGGCATCTGGCGTCTTCTTCTTTGCTGTATTCACGGAAGCAGACGCCAAGTTTTGTAAAGTGTTAGATAAATATGGTCCCCTGACATTTGCGTATGCCTGTGCAATGGGTGAGTCCCCTCGACTTTGCCGTGCCGTAGAAGCAATATATGAACTGATCAATCCCAATCTAGTTGTTTTGTCTTGAGATAGCGTCGGAAATGGTTTGTCCTTGGTGATATAATGTAAGGGTTCCACCTCCATCGAATCTTCTTGTAGTAAACTCTGGAAATGACCCTCCAGTTGTGCATTTCCAGCTTTCAATAATCTGCTCAGGTCGGCCGCTGCTTGCTGATTCGATCGAAGGTTCGTCTGTTGCATTTGGGAAAATGCTTGGTTGACACGCTTCACGGAACTGAGAAAGGTCGAAAGGCCAACCTTGTCGGGGCTATCAGAATGATTAATGATGATTCTTCCCTCTGGCAGAGGAATACACACCCCTTCCGAATAATCTCCTCCTCATTGCTCTTGATGTCGGATGGCTGCCGAATTCGATCGATGGCACTCAGAACCTGATCAATATCTGCAGCTTGTTAGAGCAGATACCTTTTGTGTAGTAGGCTTGTATGGAGTACTGACTCGTCCCTAAAACCTGCAGCTTTTGGGTATTTCCATAAAGGGGCCCGACGGCATCCTGAACGCTTTTCCCACTGGATTCCAAGCGGGCCAGCGACGCTTGAATCTTCTTGGTTAATTGACTGGTCTTCTCCAGTCGGGAGTTCAGAACCTCGACCTCTGCGCGAGCCTCCTCATCGGCCGCCTGCCTCGAACCCAGAGAGATGGCCATTTTTTGGTTGATTCTCCAGACGCTCCATTCCGATCGTAATTCGTACAGAGACTCCACACCCGGAGGAGTAGAAGTAGCACGGACACGGACAGTCGGCGTCATGCTTAGAGTGGCGCGGGTGGCCCCGGTGTTTGAGGCGCTGGCGAGGGCTATCTTTGGTCTGGGGTACGACCTCCAGGAGTGCTCCGTGACAAGAGCCTCTTTCCTCACCTGTGCGTGTGCGTGTGTGTGCTTGCACCTCTACGAGAGCTATGGCCAGATGTTGATAGCTGTCAGAAGTTTGGATCTGAACATTGGATGGCAGCGATGGCTAGCCTGTAGTCAGAAGACTGGCATCCGGGCGGGGGTATATGTCGTACTGATTTGCTCTCGGTAGAATCCCTAGGGATGAATGTTCAGCGGATTGTCGGGGATGTTTGGCATCACCAACAGGAAGTACTAGTCGGTACAACTATGGAGAGTATGAGGAGACAGAAACGAAGTGACGAAGAGGAGGAGCAGCAGAAACGAGTGACTGAGGAGGTGAGAGTGAAAGTGGTGAGTTGTCTTAATAATTTAATATGTTGAATCTTCATCCCTTGACCATGCCTCTGGTGTTCATCCCTTGATATATCTTGTCCAAGACCCTACCACGGCAGCGCCACTCTATGCGTTTTTCTATTTATCAAAAAACTCACTCAGTACCCTCAGATCGCGCATATATACAACTCTAGTCGTCAATATAAACTCTCAAAAGCACTTAGAGCGCTGGTTTTGGTAGGTATCATTCGCCTATAAAATCTACACTGCACGGAGATTTTGCTCCGGCTGGAAAACCACCGCTGGAAGTTCCCCTCCCTGCTACCTTCAGGTACTGAGATGGTGGTATTTGATAGTTCACATGTACTCCATATTCGTTTCTTTTCTTGATTAATCCAATAGTTCCTCAAGTACTTCAATTTTCATGTTAGCCGAGTTATTTACTAATTAATTACTCTGTGTACTCTACAGAAGTAGAACATCAAGAGCAAATTGGAATCCTTTGTTGCCCGCCGGGAAATCATCGGGGCGCCTGCATCCACAGCCAACTTTCCCTTCCAAGCTTCCAGCATCCTGCTTCCAGCCTCATGCAGCTTTCTAATCCCTGCGGCCATCAATTTTTCTTTCTTTACAATCAATCGCAATTGCATCATACGACAACCAATCCCATTCCCATTCCCACTCCAGTCAGTCGTGATACCCTTGCACATGTTTCCCAGCAATCACTATCACAGGCCGTGAGCCGAGTCTGCTCCTTCTACTCAGTATTTCTTTCTACCTCCCACCATGTTGCGCAAGTTCGTTGCATCGCCCAAGAAATTCACCTGCAAGCTTCAACATTCACTCCTTAGACCCCGATGGCCCCATAAGCAGTCAAGAAGTCCGCCACGAGCGCGCCAACTCTTTACGAACATCCAAACAAAACAGAAGCCTACCTCGAAAATGGCGCCCACGAATTCGATATTAATTGGAATCACATCCGTCATCCTCACCGGAGGTCTATTCTATATCTTGTATACCAACGACTATGTCCAACCTCTCCCACCAACGCGATTGCGCAGCGACATCCGGGCAGAGCGGAAGAAGAAGGAATCCCAGAGGGAAGATAATGCACAGGAGCTTTCAGAGCTGCCATTTGCAAAGAATCCCGAGCCATCAATCAAATCGGCGGATGATACTGCGTGGGGGACCTTTACGAATAACTTAGTTTCGTTTTCGTCTGTCACAGATCAGTGGAATGTTGTCAGCAGCGCCGTCGTCGATTATGTCATGCCAGAATGGGCAAAACTCATCCCAGAACATATCAGTAAACTCCAAAGAGAGTTATCAATGGCACCGGGTTCCTTAGCAGACGAAATATGGCATGATGCCCATGATCCATACCTGAACCCTGAGATTGATTTTTCCGCAAAGGTCAGGGTTTCTTCGGATTTATGCGACTTAGAGAAGGAGTTTTTGCAAAAGCGCAAGAGATTCACGACCGCTGCGCTCGCAAAGTATTTGAATATACCAGAAAAAGAAATTCATCCCGATGATGTTCCCACAATTGCCCTGGTTGGGTCTGGCGGGGGTTTGCGGGCTCTAGTCGCAGGCACTGGCTCAATGTCAGCCGCAACCAAGTCTGGTTTGTTTGATTGCGTTACTTATACTGCTGGAGTCTCGGGCAGCTGTTGGCTACAAGCCCTCTATAACTCTGCCCTAGGGGCCCAGCGGTTTGACAAAATGGTGGACCATTTAAAAGCCCGTATCGGACTACATATTGCCTATCCACCAGCAGCACTTGCTATTCTCAACCAAGCTCCAACGAATAAATATCTGTTGACGGGCTTCGTTGAGAAATTGAAAGGAGACCCAGATGCTCACTTCGGACTGGTTGATGTTTATGGAATGCTTTTGGCCGCAAGATTACTTGTCCCGAGAGGAGAAGTTGGCGTCGAAGACAAGGACTTGAAACTTTCTAACCAGCGTGAATTCATTAGCGAAGGACAGAACCCACTACCCATATATACAGCCGTTCGCCATGAAATTCCCATAGAAGAGGAAGCAAAGGATCTAGAAAATGAAACAGGCAAGCCTTCAGAAGAAACCAAGGAGAGAGCCAAACGCGAGGCTTACTTTCAATGGATGGAAATTACACCTTACGAATTCTTTTGTGAAGAGTTCAATGCAGGTATACCAACATGGTCGATTGGGCGGAAGTTTAAAGGTGGCAAAGACATACCTTCAGAAACAGGAACTTATCTGCCTGAACTTCGCCTTCCCTTGATGCTCGGGATTTTTGGGTCTGCTTTTTGTGCAACATTATCCCATTACTACCAAGAAATCAAGCCGCTCGTGAAAGGATTGACCGGTTTTGGGAGCCTGGACGAGATGATAGAAACCAGGAATGAAGACCTGAGTAAAGTTCATCCGATTGACCCCGCAACGATCCCAAATTTTGTTCATGGTATGGAAGGAATGTTGCCAGAAACAACGCCAGATACCATCTACAAAGAAACACATCTACAACTCATGGATGCAGGCATGTCGAACAATCTTCCCATTTATCCTCTGCTTCGACCAGGAAGGGACGTAGATATTCTGATTGCTTTTGATGCTTCTGCTGATATTAAGACCCAAAATTGGCTGTCAGTAGCGGATGGTTATGCCAAGCAGCGTGGAATCAAAGGCTGGCCACTAGGCGTTGGTTGGCCGAAACCATCGACTTCGCCGGAGAAGGCCGCTAAAGAATTAGATGAAGCGGAATCTAGTACGGTAGTCGAAGCGGACGAAAAACTAGAGGATGCCAAGGAAGAACAAATTCTAGACGCAGCTCAATCAGTGGAAGGACCCAAGCCAAGTCAAGAGGAGATCAGCGATCTAGGCTATTGCACAGTCTGGGTTGGAACAACTCAAGAGCGGACATCATCTACCGAAGACGTTCCATCCAAAGCCGTCCAAGACGACTGGGAGCTGATGCAACCTGACGCTGGTATCGCCGTCGTCTACTTTCCATTTATGAGCAATCCGAAAGTAGAAGATGTTGATCCGGTAGCAAGCGATTACATGAGTACCTGGAACTTTGTATATACCGCAGAGGATATCGACAAGGTCGTGGCTCTCGCAAGAGCTAATTTTGAGGAGGGTGAAGAACAGACTAGACGTTGTGTAAGAGCCGTCTATGGGCGAAAGAAAAAGAGGAGAGAAGAACGTGAAAACGAGGAAAGAGAAGCTAGATGGAGGAGAAAGGTTAGACTGGGGACCGTGGGGAAGAAGGGGGAGGGAGATCATTTCCATTTGACTTGAAACCTTGGTCTAAACCATCCGAATTTACGAAGTATTAGACACTCACGTGTGGCGGAATTCAGGGTAGCTCGGTTCTAGACGACTTGGATGGCCAGCTCTCTTGATCTCGAGTCAATTCTGGACGAGGCTTCTAGACTGCGCCTGTGGTGGTACAGTTACCAGAAATTCGAGCTACGACTGACTAGTGGAGGTTGCGTCAGCCTCGTAATACCGGAGATGGCGATGGGAGATCTCGAAACATGGTCTTTTTCTTTCTTGTAATAATCACGGTAGATACCCAGGAATTCAGGATGCGGGGATAAAAGTCTGTGTAAATTTACTTTGTAAATCATCTCGTCTGCAACAGGATGCGTCTAAATATAAGTAGCAAATGATGATGATCTCAAACTCATACGAGGGTTCTATTTCAAGGCTGACGACTAAGCGAAAAAACCAAGATCTTCTGAGTTGTTCTACCCCACAACCCCTTATTTCTTTTTGGGCGCAAATCCGGGATGAGGTTACGGACGATCGTTGGATCTTGATTTTTCCCAAGACTTTGCCAGATCGAAAGCGAAAAAAGGGGTTCGGTTCTTATTCATGCAACGGGAAGTCTTGTCCGATGTTTCCGTGTTCTCGCCCGTCAAATTTACGAGCAAACGTATTTGCGGTGTGTCGTGATGTTTTCCTCGACTGTGATGTTTGTTCCTTTGGCGGATGCAGGATGGGGAGGAAGCTGAACTTGTACGAAGATACTACGTATGCGGTAATTTGACATGTGCCAGCAAGCAGGTGATGTAGACGGCAAGAGATCCGTCCCCACTGTATAAACAACAGTACGGCCCGGGTACCTGACTAGAACGAGGATAGGAAGAGGGTTGCTTGCACAAAAGATGAGCTAATGATGCCCCTCTTGTGCATCATCGGTCATCGGTTAGCAGCGCTCGGTTCCGAAGGCAAGGCCGTGGCAAACGAACTGAGTGAAAAAAAGACGACGACGACGAAAACTCGTAAAGGACCGAGCGTATAATATGATGGAAGCGGTTAGGATTTTGAGTTGATCGGATGGCAATCGATGGATGGGTGGATTTGTGGAGGATGCTTATGTAGAGGTCGTATTTGTGGATGTGTTGTCGGCCGCGGTGTGAAGGATGTTTGCATGAATTGTGATGTGGTTCGTCCAGCTACGGTCGAGGCGAAGCGAATTCCGCACGAACGTAAATTTACAGGACGAGTACGGCCAGGTACCGAACTACAGCTTGGTTTTTCCGAGTAGGAAGCGGTTGTATACAAAGTATCGCTCTGATTAGGCAGGTCGTCCTCGGATCCCTTTAACCAAGCAAGTAGAGCACAGTACGTACACTTTTAGAATTATTCAGAGGTACTCGTACTCCGTACAGCAAGAGAGACTTGGAGGCTTGCCAACTCCTATTTAGCGGTGTTTGTTTGCGTAGACGAATGTTCGTGCTGTTGTTGTGCCAGCAAGGGGCAAGCCAGGGCTTGTCGGTAAAGTTCTCTCTCAAGTCCCATGCAAAGAGCGATCGCAAGCCACAGCCACCGCCTGTCCACCAACACCACCAACACTCCTTGTTCCTTGTCTCTCGCTCTTTCTTGCAGCGCAGACCGCTACCAAGGCCCATATCCGTGCAGCAACTACGGGGACTCTGCAACTCTCTCCACTGTGTTGACCCACTCGCTCGCGCCATCACCAAGTTCCTGGCAGTCTCCGAACTGGTGCCACGGTACTGTACTCCGAACGGTAGGAGTATAATAGCAAGCCTTCTTCCCCGAGGGCCAACATGAATACACCAATTCTCGGACGCTCAATTCACTGACATTCATCTGATCTTACTGAGCCACTGCGGAGGAAAAAAGAGAAAAAGGCTGTGCAAGCATCACCAACGTCAAAATTCACCTTGTTTAATCTACACTCGTTCAACAACAACAGTCCGGACCCGGCCCCTCGAAGTAACTCTCTTACTACTTCTCCCCCCTCCACGAAGTTCAGACAATCACCCGCCCATATTATTTTTTGCATGTTAATGGAATCCCTGGGAATTGGAATGCTGGCGAAGAAAAGTAATAAAAGAACTCGACCCCTCGTTCACCAAGACAATTAGCATCCGCATTTTGGACTGTCTGGGTTTCAATTAGCTAGTCAAAGGACTCACGCGACCAAATTTCCCATTCACCACCAGATTAAATCTCTTTGAAGGAGTTTCTCAGTTCTCTTGACTTCTTCTCGATTGAAGAAGTTTTCTACAAACATCATGGATAGCTCAATGACACCACCTTCCGTCTCACGATCCCGAAGTTCTTCGCTGGACTCTGAGTTCGATGAAGACTACTTCCTCAAAACCTACGTCCCCCTCTCCAACTTGCCAACCCCACCATTATCCTCGCATTCGACATCGCATGTCAAATCTGCAGAAGAAAATCTTGCATTGGGTGAAAACCTGGATCCGGATCTCTTGGGTATGCACTAGAATCCCTACTTACCCCAGAAAGATCGAATTTTCGGGAGAAGTGGAAAGGGAAAATATATTACCAGAAAGGATGATGGGCTAATTTATATGATTTCGCACCAATTAGGACCCGCGACACATCTGACGAATTTGATACCGGCTCCGGCGTCTTTGACAACCTCCTGTGTTCCGCTCGTCCACGCGATTCTCACGAGGGCGGATTTGCCTATTGAGACGGTGGCATTAGCAGTGTGTATCCTCGACTCGCTGAATTCCCGATTTGCGCTGGCGTGGCGGCAGGGGCTTCCGCTTTGTGCGTCGTACGATCAGCAGTTCTATGAAGAAGAGAGGGAGGAGAAACAACATATTGATTCTGTGCACCCGGAAATCATTGTGCTGGCTGCTCTCGCTCTAGCCGTTAAGTTCCTGGACGACAAACAACTCTCAGCGAGAAGATGCGCGGCGGTCTGGGGAAAGGATCTTTGGACGTTGGAACAGGTTAACTTTACGCAGAGGGTTGTGCTTGAGAATTTGGGATATCGGATTCTTCCGCTTTGGAATGAAGATATTATTCGGGAAGCTCTGGAAGACATGAGGCGCGCTGGACGAGTGGAGAACCTGGATGTTCATGTAGCGGAGAATTGGGAGGCGGAGACTTGCTGTGGAAGTTTTGAAAATGGGGAAATACAACACACTCACCGGAGGACTATCAGTACGGGTAAAGCTGTGACAGGGATGGAGCAGTTGATCACGCCGGAGGAGACTCCTATGGCTGAGAATTCGAGAGGCACGAAGGATATTTCCTGCGAGACCAGGAATGCTTTTTCACGGAGTCGGAGTCAGAAAAAGTTCAGGATGCAGGGTCGTGTTAGTGATGTGAGTAGTGCAAGCATGGCGGACACGGTATGCGACGATGGAGAAGACGAGCCTTTTCCGGTTTTTGAGGACCCTATGGTCATGGGAATGGAGTATGTATTGAGATGAGGGCATTCAAAAGTATTGGTTTGATCGTGGATGGCGTTGAGTGAACGGGACTCGGAAAGTTTTATTCCCATGAATGGAGGGACGGAGGAGTTTTTGATGCATAGCGTTTTGGCGTTTTATACCACTCCTTTTTGGGTGGCCCACTCTGGGAGTGAGGCGTTATGGCAGTATAGCGTTTACTACAATACCTAATGTATAGTTATTTCAATCTCTCGTTCTTGTTCGGTGTTTATGGATTTGATCGTTCAAATGTTGTGAATGTGATAGCTGAAGAAGAAAAGTTTGTTACTAGATGAGAGGTTCGCACTAGATTTTGCGATTCTGTTCAGTGAATTAGCGCTGCCATTTATATTGGAATGAGAGGTAGTTATTGCTCGCATGACCTCATAGTGAATTATTGCCATCAAGTCATGCTGCAGGCTGAGTGATTGTCTATGAATAAATAAACTTGATCATTTGAAACATATATAGCAGTCACTTGTATAAGATAGTTGGGATACTGTAAGACAATCCCGATAGGATACTGAGACTGAGAGAATGACAGGACCTAGTGAGTGATGAAGAGGTGGCGAGGGTGATTGATGTATTGAGATATTTATTCACCATGTTGACGAGATTTATCAAGTTGTCTACGTTGAAAAGAATATGACATGCAACACTCTGAATTTCGTAGGTCGTTATATGTAAGCTTCAAAAACTCTCTATGGACCCAAAAACCCCCGCCAAAAAAAGGAAAAAAGAAGTTCTCGCGTTGACATAGCATGGGACAAAGCTTGTTTCCATCCATTCCATAGGGACCTCCGTACCGAGCTACCCCAGAAACTCACCGCTCGATGACGCAGTTCATCTGATGCACGCCAAGTCATGCATACCATCATCAACGTACAAGCAGCTTCCTACCACATTTCCAAACCTTCTAGAGTGCTTCTTCTTCCTTGTTCTTGAAACGAAACTTGTCAGGTCTTTTTCGAAGGATATTAATATTTTTAGTCAAGAGAGAGAAGGGAGATATGGCGTCGATATTACGACAGATTGTTGCGGGTCCTAGGTCGAGACATCCTGAGGCGGGTTTGGATTTGTGTTATGGTATGTTGCTTTCACACTGCTTGGAAAGTTCTGGTCGTTGTTGTAGCCTTGGGAAAGAGATGGACCTTGGGATCCTAATTTGAATCTTTTATACTTACTCTTGCCATAGTTACAGACCAAATCATCGCAACCTCCGGCCCCTCAGGAACCTACCCCCAACGCGCGTACCGCAACCCCCTTCACCAACTCGTCAAATTCCTCGACTACAAACACGGCGAAGAATGGGCCATCTGGGAGTTCCGCGCCGAGGGGACGGGATACCCGGATAGCGAGGTGTACGGAAGGGTGTGGCATTACCCTTGGCCAGATCATCATCCTCCGCCGTTTAGACTCGTGCCGATGATTATGGGCAGTATGAGGAAGTGGTTACATGAAGAGAAGGCCAAGGAGGAGAAGGAGGGTAAGAAGAGGGTTGTGGTTGTGCATTGTAAGGCGGGGAAGGGAAGGAGTGGGACGATGGCTTGCTCGTATTTGATTTCGGAGTGTGGGTGGGATCCCAAGGAGGCGTTGGCGAGGTTTACAGAGAGGAGAATGAGACCTGGGTTTGGACAGGGTGTTTCGATTCCGAGTCAGTTGAGGTGGGTTGGGTATGTTGAGAGATGGACGAAGTCGAATAAGATCTATGTCGAAAGACAGATTGAAATTATGGAAGTTCACGTTTGGGGACTGAGGGATGGGGTGAAGGTCCAGGTGGAGGGGTTTGTTGATCAGGGGAAGACGATCAAGCTCTTCCATGTTTTTACTAAGAAGGAGAGGGTGATTGTGGAGGGCAATGCGCCTGGTGGTGGTGGGGTCAAGGATATGATTTCTGATATTGCGGGACTTGCAAGCGAGAAGCAGCTTGGAAAGTCGAAGACCAGTTCTCAGTTGGATATCGACGATATCAAAAAACCCACCGCCACTCAAACACTACCAACTCAAGTCGATAATACAAATAGCAGCGCTATGCCTACACCTTGGAAAAGTAACGACAAACCTAGCCCCCCAGAAAAGAAACAGAGCACCACGTCCGTCGACTCGACTGGTTCGGAATCAGGCGGCAGCGCGGTCATCTTCAAACCGTCCACCCGTGTCATCTTGCCAACTTCGGATATCAACATCGATTTCGAGAGACGAAACAAAGCATCCATGGGTTGGACAATGGTAACAGCAGTGGCCCACGTATGGTTTAACACATATTTTGAAGGCCGTGGTCCCGAACAAAATGGCAAGCCTGATGAGAGTGGTGTTTTCGAGATTGAATGGGACAAAATGGATGGTATCAAGGGGAGTAGTAGAAAAGGAACCCGAGCCTTTGAGAAACTAGCCGTGGTTTGGAAAGCATACAACCCGCCCGGACAAAGAGCCAAGGAAGAAGAAATTCACGAACCTGGACTTGACAGTCCGGTCCCGCAAATGGCTCCGGCGGATTGGAAAGGTGGCAATGAAACTTCTCCAGATGTTGGGAAGGATCTTGGGTTGAGAACTGAAAGTCCAGCTAGCGCGGCAGTCAGTAAGGCGAGCAGTGAGAAGAGCAACCAGAATGGGGACAGCGACTCGGAGGAAGGTGTGAAAACCTGTGGTCCGGATGGGAAGGAGGTCGATGTCAATGTTGATGAGCTGCCATCGAAGAAGGAGGCGGGAGGAAGTACCTCTTCAAAGCCTGAAGTTTCGGTGGGGGGGGTGGAAAGGGGATTTAATACTGCTTCTTCAACGACTCCTCAGCGGAAGACCACGGCAGGTCACGAAGGTGAGTAAGTTGATTCTCCTTCCTTATACTATGTGCTTGACAGGGTGGCTAATAGATAACTTTAGCCACAATCCTACCAAATCCGCAACAGACATCTCGGAACTCATAGGAGGGAGTCCGACGGTGTCTACGGGCGACCTTCCAGGTGGCGTGCCGCCGGAGGAGATGAAGAGTCCTCGCCAACATGGCTTGGGACATCTACAGGCTGCGAACAAGCTTATTAATTCTTCGTAGTTTGGTGTTGGGAATGATTCGAGGATTTTTGGATGATGGATGGGGATGGGCATTGTAGATATTATCAGCGTAGGCGTTGCTTCTTTATTTTGGGAATGGAAGACTTGGGGCTTGTGGGTGAGTGAGTGATTGATTGGTGGGTGTGCGGGTGTATGTAGAATAGATTATAGGTAATGACGGTATGGGAGACCAATCAACTTGTGTTTCCTTCTCTCAAACTTTTGGGGATTTGCACAGGAGAGTCAGCAAATGGACATTCGTGAGAAATACCAGATACTCGATGCTTCGAGGTTGTCTTCAAAGACAAATTGACGACGGTTGTCTTCAAAGACACATTGACGACGGTTGGACAGTTGCTATGGAAGTGTAAAAGATGGTACTCCCCGGTTGCCACGTAAGATAGTTGGGCGAACTCTAGACATACCTAGGTTAGACCGTTAGAATAATAAATTATTCTAAAAGCCTCGTACAATTAAAATCATTATACGAACCATTTAGGATAATCCAAATCAATATATCTTTATTAGTCTAAGTCATTTAGGACAATCAAGTTAATTATTTTAGGAATTCTGGTATAATAGGTTCTTAGGTAGGGTGTATACAGAGTTTCGCCCAACTGTCTTACCATCTCCTTCCAGCCATTGCACAGGCTAGTAGACAACTCAAACCAGGGGTCGACGATATATGGTAAGTCGAGACACACATGTATGATGGAAGAATTATTCGAAGTCTGAGTAGAGTGTTATGGGAATTATGATTCTTTTTTTTTGTCGCCCTTTTATCTTTAGAGTGAGGTTGGTTTGCTTTCTTGGTTAATTTGCAGTATTTTGATTATTTGCTTAGCGAGTACGGTCCGGAACGAGCATTCTTACTAGGGGAAGCGGCTTGGAGAGAGAACTTGCGGTGGTACCGTAGCCAAGTGTGGGGGATTACTGGAGTATGGTTACGAGTAAATAAAGGATCTCTTTTGACGCTTTCTCTTTCGGGTTTGTGGTTATTTACGTGGCTTTCAAAGATGTGGGGGTTTTGGGCTACTGGTTGCGAGATGGGAAGAGGGGAGCTCTTCAATCTGCTGTCAATCTGTGAAGCAAGGTACAGGTCGTTATTAAGATTTCTCGTCGATGGAGGATGTTGTATTATTTGAGACCCCTATCCTGTGTAATTGATAAACTGATAGATAGGAATTTCGCCGATCTCAGAAATGCGTCTTGGAAAATGCAATGAGAGGGGAAATGAGGTTAATTGTATGCTACTAGATTCTAAACCATTGGGAATAAAGCTTTCTTGCTTTCTTGATTTGTTTTTTGAGTTTAAGTGTTGGAACTTAGAAGAATTGAATTTATGGATTTGATCGTCTTTCTTAGGTAAGGGTACGGAACAAGAAAGTAAGTACTCGGTAAGTACAAATTGATTCCAGGATAAGCGAGACATAGCCAGGGGCAAGATCAACAATTTGACAAAAACAACCAGTTCCTCTGATACTCTGTCCTCCAATCACTTTTTAATATGCCCACCTGATTCTTGATTTGTAAATGATCACCACAACAGCTTTTATAAGCATATCACGTGATTTAATATCACATGATATTGGAAGCGGTCCTGAGAAGTTCGGGCCTCATATATTGGGCAACCAGCTATGACGCTCGTGAAGCTTCCATACTCGCGACAGCAACGCACATTCAATTGACAGTCAGATAATGCTCGCACGATGCCGCCTAAGAAGAAGGGTAAAGGCGTCGCCAGGGCAGCCTCAACTCCGGTTGCAGATGAAGACACGGTGATGGCAGACTCTCCACAGACGCAACAAGTTGAAGAAACACCTAAACCTACCTCAGATCTTCTGAACGACCCCTGGACCGACGAGCAAGAAACGTCGCTTTTCAAGGGGATTATCAGATGGAAGCCAGCGGGTAGATTGCCTTGATATCCGACTGCAAACCCTTATTAATTGTTACCAGGCATGCATAAACACTTTCGAATGATCGCGATCTCAGAGCACCTACGCAACCACGGCTACGATCCCACGATTGAGAAGCACACGCGCATCCCATGTATTTGGGAGAAGATCAGAACCATGTATAACCTGGACATTATCGATAAACAAGAAAACTCGTTCGACTACGAGGACGGTGATCATAAGTTCTTCGAATTCAAACTTCCGGAGGATGACTTTGAGGAACCGATGTTTATGAAGGGAAAATTGGGTTCAAGTGAGGCTGCTTCGTCTTCGCCTCCAAGAATGGAACGATCGCCTTCTTTGCCGCCAGCTAGAAAGCGGAAGAGAGGTGATACGGTGACGCGAAATCGGGCTAGTACGGTGGATGATACAGATGAGCCAAGAACGTCACGAACCAATAGTCCGGCTGCGACGGCGGGGAAGGGAACAAGAAAGGGAAGAGCTAATAGGAACTTTGGCAGAGTGAAAGCGGAGCACCAGGAGGGTAGCGAGAGGGCGGCGAGTAAAGATACTACCATGGATGAGGATGATGGGACTGAAGATGGTGGTGAAGAGGAAGATGAGGAGGAGGATCGCGAATCTTCTCCAAAACCGACAAGTAAGTCGACCTCGAAAGCCAAATCAGGAACGCCTTCGAAGACGCAGGGTGCTCCGAGGAAGAGCAAACGCAAAAGATAGAGGAAATTGGGCTGTGGTAGAGCATACGGGATGTCAAGTACATCCATTGGCGTCTGCAAGGGAATCTTCTTACCAAGAACCCGGAAAGTGGCACTCGACTTTAGAACGACTGGTCACTATGGGATTGCCTTGGACGATGATTTCTCCACTTGCTTATAGTACGATATGCACTGTAGGAAAGGAGCACTACTAGATGGTCTTTGGAATCAAGGGGTTCCCTCAGAACTTGAAGCAGCTGTATGAAGTTGTTGCAGATGGGCGAATGGAGAATGCCCGCGAAAATACGCTTGGGAACTCTTCCTTTGCGCGATTGGTACCAGATATCATTCCACGTAGGGAAGAATTACCACGTAGCTTTTCAAGTCAGCCATTGGGTGGAGATTGATGTGGGGTTTTGTGACAATACGTGACCTGGCATATTGGCAGCCCAACATGAAAAATAAAAAATCGAGATTCTCACAAGGAAGGCTTGTTGCTCTACTATCTTTTCCAAAATCCAGACCCTATGATAAGCGATATGTTATTTGGTTAATGGGGATGAAGAGTGAAAAAAAAAGTGCACCACAGATTGCCGATCAGCGAGGGGGTTTCCTAGAGTTGGGCTGGGGAAAGACACGAGTTATACACGAGTGCTCGCGTGGCGAGAGCGTAGAACTTCGAAGCGTGAAGACAGTGATACTGATGCTACTAACATTTCTTTACTACGCGAAATTCGCGAGGGAAGGACGAATTTCATGAGCAATATGAAACTCTTCTTTCACTCTCATACAGGTACCGATTTCCCCTTTCCACGACCATGAAACAAGCGCGCTGTTCCTTACTGAAATCCCCAAAACCACAAAATACTTTTCTACTCCACAGCAAACACACTAAACATACTTCAAAGCACCAAATAGCAACGGTCACCAGCCACGAAGCGCGTCTGTGGGCGTGAGCTTCGCGTGGCCTGCACCAGCCTCCTCACCGCTATTGGAGCATTCAACTTCATGCATGAGCTGTCCCCTTGTCACATCTCCAGTCTCCTCTTTAGCCGATACAACTGCTAGAAACTTCCCCACTCGGGCTGCATTTCCCCACAAGTGTTTCGTTTCAAGAGTTTATCATTGGGTTACAGAGATGCAGAGCGACAGAGGGCTTACTTTAGCTGCAAGTGAGCTCCACCACCTTGATATGCACATTGGGCCTTTCGATCCAGTAGACGCGAGAGAACGAGGGAACACGCATCGTGATGTTTTCGCGTTTTCTGGCGGACACAAGAGAGATAGACTGCTGTGTTGTGCATGTGCATGGAATACGGCGGTAATACAAGAGAAAATTGGTTGAGTGACTCACAATGGGCTGGTCAGGTGATTTAGCGATTGCCCAAGAGAGAGAAGAGTATGAGGCATTTTTTTCTCGATATATGGAGGGATGAGGGCCTGAGGTGATTGTGTTTTCTTTTCTTCTTTCTTCATTATATCTCCGGGATTTGGCGTTGTGGTTGTTGTATGACTTTCTTGTGAGATAAGACGAATGAGCAACAACTCATCCTTCATAAGATCATCTACTATTCCTGCATTGCACTTTTACATTCAATTGAACCAATCCAATCCAAACACAAATTCAAGTCTTGCCGAGACTTCTCAAACTCAACAAATCAACTCATTATCGATATATTGCTGCGCCTTAGTTCAATATTGCTATAGCCTCATTCCTCTTTCCAACGACATGCACAAGCTATGGCCCTCTCCAGCTCAAGATTCGTCGACCTCTGGCGGGACGACAATGTCCGTTCAGCCCTCCTATCACATCTTGATGTCTACACAATTTGCGCTTTGCGACTCACAAATACAAAATGTTGCGACTTCACAACCCGAGACCTTTTCAGAAGAACCCGCTTGACCTTTACACCAAGCTCGCTTACTCGACCTTCCCGCGTCGAGTCTCTCTCCAGAATTGGTCCTTACATCGAACACCTGACATTCTCCATGCCACACTCTCCAGATGCCTTCCTTCCCCCACTCATCAATCCGGTCAATGGTCATGAAGTCAACTTTTTATATACCCCCAACACCACACCAACTTCCGTGATTGCACGTCCAAAATATGGATCTCCGGAACTTGCGGATTTGTTAACACAACAATACCCTCCTCTTTTTCATGCTGCGACCAACGTCCCGGCCTTCATCAGTGCGATGAAAAAGATGCCCAATATGAGGCATCTCACCATTTCCTGTCCAGGACAAGATCCTGCTCAGAGATATAGACGTGATTGTGTGGATTACGCACTTATCAGTCTTCGAATCGCTATTGAGCGATCACCCTTTATCTGCTTGGAGAAGTTGAGCCTGAGCCACATCCATGCTGCTGGTCTGCAGTACCTTCGTCACACGCCAGGGTATGGAGCTACCCCTTCTGCTGGACGAAGATGGAAGCAGATCAAAAAACTTAACATCGTTATGGACTCTTGGGATTTCCAAGGCCTGCGACCGGGGCTGGATTATCTCAAAATTCTTGATGATTACATCCGAAACTTTTCAGAGGGACTTGAAAAGATCAGCTTCGGATGGAATGGAAGGAAGGGTCCTTGCCCCCTAACTTTGTTCACTGATCCTTTATTCGCTCCTCCGAGAAAAACAGCAAAGCTGTTTGCGGAGGTCACTTCTCCCATGTCTCCTTTGCCCGAAGCACCAAGACGGGAAGCAATGCACTTCCCAAAGCTCCGGTACATGCAAGTCCGCAATGCAACAATGTCCTCTGATCAGGTCGCCGATTTCATTATGCAACACCATCGCACAGTCAAAGAATTTGACTTTGAGAACGTATTCCTGACCAATGGGGGTGCCTGGGAAGACGCTCTTGCTCCATTGACAAGAATCAGCGGAAGCTCAGAATGGATGTCTCAACACGGCACCTCAGATGGCGACAGCTTTACTCAAAGCCAGGATCAACTACATTACCTTGATGACCTCAATGAGGTGATCGATAGTCTCTCCCGGAAACTTTCATACGATTGGCCTTCACCACCATCGCCCGTCGAAGCGGGCGCAAAGGTTCATGCTACCAAAATCAAAAAGAGAGTAAGGAGACGTAGACGCAAGCATACCCATAAACCCAAAGTTCAAGAGCCAAAGCCTGAACCTGTTCATGTACCAAAAGCTGTATTAAAGAAATCAAAATCACCTACCCGGCCAGCTCCTACCCGACCTATCATCTCAAACCCTATCCCCATCACCACGCCTCCCCCCCTCCCGGGTCCTCCAGGTCCTTTTATTGACCTCCTCCAACCCACAACTTTCAACCCGAACGTACAGGGCGTACAAAGAGATATCAGACATGATGCAGCAATACAGGAATTAGCTGATGACCCCGACAAGCGGGTTTCGGCGCTCAGAAAGGCGAAGGAGGTGGTTTTGAGGCAGATGGGGAAGGAGTTTGAGAGTGCAAATATGAATGAGGAGAAGAAAAGGGGTGTTCGGGGTTTGTTTAAGCAGAGTTCTGGATGGAAGAGTAGTGCTATGTTGGGGCATGGACATGAGAGTCGGACTGCTTTGGTGCCGTTGATGTTTAGTAGGTATTGATAGGGCGTTGTTGTACTATGATGGGTGGTCTGGTGGTTAGGAGTTACTTATACGGATTACGAATTACGATTATTGAATATGTTCTTGAATGTACACATGTCCCTTTGTATGTTCAATACGACTGTGATTGTGTTCTTGATAAACTTGGTTTTCTCGAGCACCATTTCCGTGATTGTAATGTAACTGAAGAGTGGCATGAACTACTGACTGTGGTTCCGATATGCTATCAGAGAAATAGAATACGATTGACTGCTATGACTGTGCTGTGCAGAAAAGCTTTCTTACTGTGCAAAGACTAATATCTCTTGAATAAGCTTCGGAGAATTAGTCTAAAATTCTTTGGCAATTGCTGTGAGATGACCAGCGGAAGGTTTCAAACCCATTAGCCTAAGGTGTAAGAACGCTACTTCAACTGAGTACACTTCTCGCCTTGGTCCAGAATGTGGGCCACGCCGTAGATATCGTCAATGCCCAGACTTTCTCGCATATGGGCATGCAGCTTCAGGGGCGGCATGTGGATCGCTGGCGGGGTATGAGGTAGTTTAGTATCACAACAAAAGAGATTTCCCATGGCCAATGAATCCCAGGATTGTTTGACTCATACCTAGGTACGGCCAGTGAGAGTCGTTTTATGCCCGACTTTTGCCATAGTCGATAAATGTTATGTACACTAGAGGAATTAGTTTCTCCCCTTACAGTATCGCCTTCCCAATTTTGTCGGGGGCTTATCGGAGAACCCCGCGATCGGGATCCTGCGAGGTACCTGGGACTGTGGAGGCCCTGGGTACGAGTATCTACTTCGTAAGATCTTGCAAGTACAAATACTCACGTTCGGGCCTACATATATTTCCTGTAAGATGAATCGAATAACTTCTCAGTTCGATCTGCGGTATTAGTCAGTTAGTTTTATCCGACTTTAGTACCGGAATTTGCGAATAACTCCACCCAGTTCCTTCAACCCATCCTCGAAAATAGCAGTGTAAATAAACAAGGCCAGCAAGATGCAAGCCCGAATCAAAAATATCAATGCCTGGCCCTCTACAATGCCCGACGAAGAATGGGAGGAAGTAGCAACCGGAATTCCAACCACAGAAGAACCGTTCATCAAGCAATATGTATCCGGACGTGAAGCCCTAATAGCACAAGAGCAAAAGCAACGAAGCGGTACTTCCCCCCCTCTATCTACACACCAACATACTAACTCATTAATCCCACAGATTTCGCATTTCGCCAATCCCTTTCTCCAATTGCCCAGAAAGCCTGCCGTATCGTCTCCAAAATCAGGGACCACGAAGCAGCAACAATATGGAACAGCGGACTCGAAGATATCCTCGCCCAAAAGATTGGAGCTAATGTATACCCGGGAATGATGTTTTCCCTTGCGAAAGAGAGGATGGAAAGTACGGCTTTGTGGAAGATTATGAAGAAGATGCCAAAAGGGGCTTTACTACATGCACATATGGATGCTATGGTGGACTTTGATTACCTGTTTGGGGTGTTATTGGAGACGAAGGGAATGCATATCTACTGCAATAGCGCTTTAGATACAGACATTGCTAGAGAGGGTGCTCCTGTCAAATTCAGATTTCAGGTGAAGGACAGAGGTATTGAAGCTCTCTTTTCTGATATGGAGTATTGCTAATTAGAATAGTGGATGGTGCATCAATCTGGAGTCCGGAATACATTCCTGATACTCCCATCCTCCTCACTCAAGCCGCGGATGCCTTTCCAAAGGGTGGAAGGCAAGGTTTCATCGCTTGGCTCAAGGACCGTTGCACAATTACCAACACTGAATCAATTGAGCACCACCATGGCGTTGACGCTGTGTGGAGGAAGTTCTCCTCTTGCTTTGGAATTCTGAATACCATCATGTTCTACGAACCAATTTTCAGATTATTCATGCGGAGAATGTTGAAACAGTTACTTGATGATGGTGTGAAATGGGTAGACCTAAGACTTGCTTTTGTCTTTCGCTATTATAAAGAGGGTACAGATGAGCCAGAAGACACATTCCATGAAATTTTTCGAGTATTTGGAGAGGAAATCGAGAATTTCAAGAAATCCGAAGAAGGGAAAGGCTTCTGGGGTGCAAGAATGATTTGGACTGGTCTGCGTCTATTAGATACAAGAAAGATGGTTGAGGATATGGATGCGTGTATCAGCGTTAAGCTGGCTTACCCGCATCTAATATCTGGGTTTGATCTGGTTGGACAAGAAGATGCTGGCAAACCTTTGAAGGCCGTCCTTCCAGAGTTATTCTGGTTCAAGAAGCAATGTGCGCAAGAAGGCGTCAATATCCCTTTCTTTTTCCACGTAAGACACCTTACTCCTATTAATCTCAAGTACTTACTGAAAATCAACATAGGCTGGCGAATGCCTCGGTGATGGAAGCGATACAGACCAAAACCTTTTTGACGCCGTCCTTTTAGGAACACGCAGAATCGGCCACGGCTTCTCTCTATACAAGCATCCTCTCCTCATCGATATGATTAAAGAGAAGAAGATCCTCGTAGAAAGCTGTCCCATTTCCAACGAAGTCCTTCGTCTTTGCGCATCCATTATGTCTCACCCATTACCCGCACTCCTAGCTCGCGGAGTCTCATGTTCTCTGTGCAACGACGACCCAGCTATCCTGGGGCAGGATACTTCTGGCATGACACATGATTTTTGGCAATGTTTACAAGGCTGGGAGAATCTCGGTCTTGCAGGACTTGGATCACTAGCAGAAAACAGTGTTAGATGGGCGGCTTTTGAGGACGAAAGTAATAGCGAATGGATGCAAAATATTAAGGATGCCACTTTGGGCTCTGGAGTAAGAGCTGAGAAGATGAAGGAGTGGTCGATTGAGTGGGAGCAGTTTTGCCTGTGGATTGTCACTGAGTTTGATGATGATGAGTAGATTGATTTAGGGTAAGGCGGTGTGGTGTTTTGTTGATGGGGTGCATTGGTGGTGTATATGGCGTTCAACCACAATTAAAGGGGATAGGTGGTTAATCTGAGTTACATGAGAAATGCGATTTTTCAAAATCTAGATGCCCATTCAACATTAGCGATTGTAGCGATCGTAGCGAGTATACGTGTTTTGCAAGAAGAAATAACTCACTTGGAAAATACACTTTGGTAAGAAGGCTTTGAACAAGTGAAAGTAGAATTATCGGAAGAATTTTTATCTTCTCTGCATCAAACTGTTTCAATGACTTCTTTTTTCTGTATCTCTGGTACAATATGATTTAATATATATTCTTTTATCGTTGTGCATAGAGCTTTTGAAGGGCCTCGTACATCCTTTTTGCACAACCACAAGGCCCATGACACATGGTTGTGCTATTTTTAGAGTACATCAAGTTTGAGTTTTAAAAACAGAGTGGACTTGTGATTTACTGCAGAGTGGTTATGAGTATCGAAAGTTAATAATTCTGCTTTGCCTTTGGTATTTCGTAGCTTTTATTTGCTGAAGGTAGTAGTAAATGTTTTGAGGTGAACCAACCTCAGCAAGCTACGCCATCACTAAGCGCCACTGTAACTACTATAAGGTACATGCACTACACAGCGTAACAATGACCATTTAATCCATCCATATTATGTATACTTTATTGTAACCAATCCCCAGTGAAGCAAAGAACGGTTTCGCATACGTTTGGATTTCTGCTGCTTCATTTTTTATGCACGTGGAGTTGACACCCAGACACCTGCTGCACACTTGAATAATCCATCCTTATCGATAGGGCCCCACTAATTGCATGTTACTGACTTGGGGGGATGCCTTGTGACTGCATGTTTGGGTTGTACTTCAACAACACTGCGACGGTGAATAAACACCACCACTTTTCAACTATGCGTACTTGGGCCATCCCATATCCACCAAAGACTCTACGCATACGGTCTTAAGGCTCTGCATACATTCACAGCTTCTCCCTAATAATGAAACCCTCGCTGGGCATATCGATATCGCATCGCCATCATCTCTTCATACCTGTACACGAGGTTGCGTGAATCAGGAGGCACAACACCAAGACCCACAGCTTTAGACACCCGACTAGAAGTTTCGGTACTTGAATGGTAAGCTCAATATATCAGATTGCTTTCTGCCATCCCTCATCTCCACTGGGACATATATTCTACACGCAAACATGACCTCCTACCTTCCCCGCCTCGGGGGCATATTCAAGTTCGATTATCAGAAGCGTCTGCTCCTGTATGTCCTCTCCCGGCTGGAGATTTTCGAAACGGATAACCTCGACCTGGAGAATTTGAACCTTGTTTTCGGACAGAAGAATGTCTTTGAGTTCCGCGACGTGGGGTTACGCTTGAAGGTAATGATCATTATTCCAATCCCATGCCTCTCTTTTTCGTCCCGTAAACTCTAACTGTTTGGAATATAGAAATTAGAGTCTCTTCTTCAGCTTCCGCCCTCATTCGAAGTCAACAAAGCTCGTGTGCTTCTGTTGCGTCTCACCATACCACTCAATATATATGCGAGTCCCATACTTGTAGAAGTGGATGGCGTTGAATGCCAGCTACATGTCAGGCTGATATCAGAGAAGGATACATCACATACGAATCGTGACCGAAGAAAAACCAAACCACAGCACCAGGGTTTCGGGACAGGGCAAGGAACAGCTAGACATGATCCTGGGGGAAGAAACCCAGAAGATACGGCTAGCGATGATCTGGAGCCAGCGATTCCAACCGTCGCCGATCTAGCCCAATCGTTCTTACAAACTGAACCGGAGAAGAATAAGGCAGAAATGGAAGCTGCAATCCTGGCAGAGGCTCCAGATCTCGATTCGATGTCTGTTTTGAGCGAGGAAACAGAAACCTTCGGTACCGGAGAGCCTATAACGCTTCCAATATTCATAAAAAAGTTCTTGGAAAGCATCTTCGATCGGCTACAAGTTCGGATACAAGGGATCATCCTCAACTTGGAATTGGAATTTCCGAGTGACACATTAAAAGCATCAATTACCGATGCTAGAGACCCTGTTACTGTCCAGTTGAGAATCGAAGACATCGATATTGAAGGAGTTGCGCAAACAGCGGAAATCGACAGTAGTATGACCCAAAATCCGCTGCACAAGGAGGGCAAACGACTTATTTCGCTGTCGAAAATCCAAGGGGTTCTCATTTCCGAGGCCAACCTATTTTACAGCTTAGCACAATCATCTGCCATTTCTTCTCCGTCCGCAGCACATTCCGAAATAAGCGAAGGCAAAACTTCAGGACCTCGACCACCAGTGGCTCATGATGAAATTCAGAAACCTGAAGAGGGCTCGGAGATTAAGGAATCCGTAGCATCCCTCCAAGGGCTTTCCACGCCTTCCATCGCCGAACATCTGAGTGGACTCCGGTCTCTCAGTGCTTCTGTACATATCAGTGAGGGCGGTCGTTTTGATGACGCGTCTGAAAGAGGGTCAAATATGTCGGGGAGTATCCGGGATAGCATGAGTGAGGTGTCTCAAAGTGTGCTGCAAAACTCGGCATATTATGGCCAACTCACTGACAGCGAGTGCTTGGGGGAAGAGGAATCAGAGGCACGACGCCCCCTATTATCCTCGCGCGATCTACAAAGCAGCCAATCGCCATCTTCAACTCCTCGCGCCTCGATGCTTATCCAAAAAACAGACGATCGCGAGATCGATGGCCTTGATTCGCCTGAAAATTTGATGCAAGAATCAACTCTTTTACCACCAAGACCATACTCTAGATTTTCGGAGGAGCGAATTTCGCAATCTCAATCACATATTACGGAGGATACGGAGTCAGAATCTCTGCAGAGTTCTTTGGCCCTTGAAGACATTTCGAAGGCTAGCCGGTCTTCAGTCATTCATGAGAACAATGACGAGGACGAAGATTCGAGTTCTGATGGGGAAGATCTCACTCAATCAAAAATGTTTAATCACGAAGATGCGGAGAGCCTATATTTAAGTGCCATATCGCATTCTCCATCAGCCCGAATACCTGGTGGTTGGACAGAGTCGAGTGACAGAAACGAAGATGGACTTTCAATTTCAAGAAGCAAACATCAATCACAAGTCCAGGATGAGGGCTTGGATAATCTGGAACACGCACGTCAGCGTTCGCCGATGGTTCGATCAACCGCTTCTATGGCAGATTCAGTACGGACAGCGAAAACTTCTGCATCGACTCATTCCACTGCAGCACAGATGAAAGCCTCTATCCCACGGCTCCCAAGTCTCGTATCTGACTTGTCGTCTACTTCCTCGGAAGGGTTCAACAAGATAATGAAGCCGATTCTTTTCCTGGATAGAGTGAACATCTACGTTCCTGCTCTTAACCAAGATATCCCCATAGATCCGGGGCTGAATGCTAGCGCGTTGGTCCAAAGCACATTCGAACAGGACCTAGCAGAATCCTCAACGTTTGATCTTCCTGGCGCATTCTCAGGCCATCTTCCCAGACGAAATGCGCCCTCTACTTTGCCTCAAACCAGCCATCCACCAAGAGAGACTAAGGCGAAAACCCCATCCAAGGATATTGAAGTTGCTATTGGTAACCTCTCTACACAATTCGACGTTTCCGTTGGCAGATTGATTTTTATGATAACTCGTCAATTGCAAGAGGCCCTAAATCAAACACCAGCGCCAGCATCAAAATTGGATTCCGAATCGAATGATGCCAAGGAAAAAGGTGGCAGCTCTGATTTCAAACTATCTGTCGAGAAAATTGACGTAGCTTTTGTGGAGAGACTCGAAGGAATACTCGGATCTCGTCGTACTTCATTAGTTCCAGAGCCTGTTCCCGATACAGATGTGCTTCTTAGGTCAAGTTTGAAGGGCCTCAACATCACTTCCAGAAATTCTTCGTCGGCTTCAAATACAGCAGTCACCATCCAAAAGTTTGTTTTTGGCTACGCAACGGGGAACATAGTATCTTTTGAGTCAAACCCAAAAATTCACGCTTCCGTGAAAGACTTGAAAGCCGATGAAGGAATTGACGTTCGTGTCAATGTTTATAAAGACGCAGATGTTACTCGAGCTGAGGTGGTGACGTTACCAATACATGTAACCATAGATCTTCAAAGGCTGGATGAAACGTTCAGTTGGTTTGGAGGACTCAGCAGCGTTTTAAATTTGGGCAGCTCAATGGCATCGAATAGCACCATTACGGCAACTAGCCCTGGCAAGCCGAAGTCTCGCGGTGTACACTTTGAGACACCTCAACTACCTGACGATAAATCTCGAGTCGCCCAAAAGAAGCCCGATATTAGGATCGGAGGCTTTATTCTGGAGCTTGTCGGAGCGGAGTGTAGCATCGGGGTTGAGACGTCAGCTGTGAAGATTGTGAATCGAGATGAAAAAATAGGTGTTTCCGTTCAAGCCATCCGATTATTTGGGCCGCTTCTAAAGAATTTACAACGGTCTCCAGCAATCCTTGTTGAAATAACATCGACCCGAATTGATTTCCTTACGACACCGGACGAAAGAGATTTGAATCGCCTACTGTCTCTCATAACACCATCAAAATCTCCATATGATTCAGGTGATGATATCATGCTTGATAATTTGCTACGCCAAAGAAGACAGGGTTCTGTTTTGAAGCTCAAAATGGATAATTTTCAGGTCAAGGTTGACAATCTAGATGACCTCAGCTATCTCCCAGATCTAGGAGAGGAAGTATCGAGATTGGCTACAGTAGCAAAATATTTGCCTGATGATGACCGACCTGGCCTACTATCTCTCGTTTCATTTCGAGAATTCGGCGCTGACATAAAAATCAATGAAACTCTTGGTTCTATAAAGTTAGCTTCGACTGATATAGAAGTGGCGCATATCACTCTTCCGTCCCTTGTTGCTCTCAGCATTGGCACCATATCTGCTCACCGCAACTCATCTGAAGAACTTGTTGGGGTGGCAGTAAATGCCGAGTTAAGAGACCCAAGAGCAAGAAACCCGGCAATCATGGCGCGAATGATTGGCAATGAAATGGAGCCTGTTGTGAAATTTCAATTCTGGAACTTGAAGTTTGAGTATCGTGTTCCAACTCTCATGACCATTCTCGGACTTGTGGAAGGGGCAACTGCACAAGATATGTCGGCCAGCATGGGCGCTTCTGTCGCTACACTAACGGAGTTTACTCGATCACGGTCTCCTCAAGCTACACGCAAACCTTCACGTTCTGACGCGCCGACCTCTAAACCACTGTTGATTAATGTTGCTATGCGAGATTGTATTTTGGGTCTAAATCCATTGGGACTACCCTCGAAGCTTCTAGTTTGTTTGACGGACGCACGCCTGACCGCTTCTGTTCCCAAGGACAAGAAAACCTCTGCGTCCATGAATGTAGATAAGGCATCACTTCTTGTTATAGACAACGTTGCGAATATAATCTCGGATGATCTTACAAATCAGCCCAGACGACCATCCTTCAGCGCCAGCAGCAGCCAGGTAACAGACCTTTGTGCAATGGGGTTCGTATCTGTCAGCTATATCTCTTCAGCCAAAGCAATCATCACAGTTTCGACTGACACAAATGACGAACAATGCGTCGATGTTGAGCTCAGAGATGATCTATTTGTGCTCGAATCTTGCGCGGATTCTACACAGACTCTGGTTGCTATTTTAGGTGCTTTGGCTCCTCCATCAATTCCAAGCACGGAGAAAAAATATCGCACCAAAGTCGTACCAGTAAAGGACCTGTTAGCATCGTTGACAGCAGACGCATTTGGTACTGCAGAAGGCAATTATGATTTCGATGAGGACTTTGACTTGGAGACATTTGATCTAGACTCTGAATTTTCTCTCGAAGATCAAGACGACGACATCATGGCGGGTATGGGTATAGCAGACTCTTCGACCAAATTAAGCAGCCGAGACACTCATGAAGGAGTCCTAGTGAACACCACTTTCCAAGAATCACAGGAATCAGAACCAGAGGGGGAACTCAACTTTGTAGACAATCATTTTGCTACCGGATCAGTTTTGGAAGGAACCGCACATCGTTGGGATTCTTCCAAAAACAACTACGCTCGATCAAGTGACACTCAAAAACGAAAGAGTCCACTCAAAGTCCTTGTTCGAGATGTACATGTTATCTGGAACCTGTTTGATGGATACGATTGGCAGGAGACGCGAGACACGATTTCCAAGGCTGTTCGAGACATTGAGTCGAAAGCCAATGAAAAACGAGCGCGATTACACGCACAATCAACATTTGATCAGGATGTCGATGAAGAAGATGATGTCATTAGCGACATTTTGTTCAATTCGATATACATTGGTGTTCCTACCAAGCGGGATTCAAATGACCTCTCGGCAGCTATAAATCAAGGGCTGAATGACAATGCTACTGAAACAGAATCAGTGGCTACTACAACGGTATCCTCTGCTACAAGTCGGCAAGGTGGCAGTCGAAAACCGAAACAAAAAAGCTTGCGACTCAGCAGAAGCAAACACCATAAAATTGCCTTTGAGCTATCGGGCATTAATATCGACATGGTGGCTTATCCTCCAGGGAGTGGAGAAACGCAGAGCTCAATAGATGTTCGGATTCTTGACCTCGAAGTATTTGATAATATTCACACGTCAACATGGAGAAAGTTTGCAACGGGGATGCAAAAGCCTCACGAGAGACAGACTGGTAGCAGTATGGTTCATCTCGAGATCCTCAATGTCAAGCCAGTACCTGAATTGGCAGCATCTGAGATTGTGCTCAAAGCTACCATACTTCCACTCCGCCTACATGTCGACCAGGATGCTCTCGATTTCATAACTAGGTTCTTTGAATTCAAAGATGAGACTGCACATTCTCGAGCCCCTTCGTCGCCTGGCGATGCTCCTTTCATACAGAGAGCCGAGGTAAACTCTGTGGTTGTTAAACTGGATTTCAAACCAAAACGAGTTGACTACGCTGGTCTCCGTTCTGGCCGCACCACCGAATTCATGAATTTCGTGATTCTGGAAGAAGCTGACATGACACTTCGTCGTACTATCATCTACGGTGTCACTGGGTTTGAGAAACTTGGCAAATGTCTGAACGACATTTGGATGCCGGATATCAAGAAAAATCAACTACCGGGCATCCTGGCTGGGATAGCTCCCATTCGGTCGCTTGTTAATGTGGGCGGAGGTGTCAGGCAACTTGTAGAAGTTCCAGTTCGTGAATATAAGAAGGACGGGAGAATCGTGCGAAGTGTTAGCAAAGGAGCAGCTGTATTTGCGAAAACAACTGGCACAGAACTGGTAAGATTAGGAGCCAAAGCTATGATTGGGTTTCAGACTGTGCTACAGGAAGCAGAAGGATTCTTAGGTCCCACCAAGGAAATCAGACCTGCAGAAGATGAAGAATCTGAAGAGCAACACAACGAGATCAGTCGTTATGCCAATCAGCCTATTGGTGTTCTTCAAGGTATACGAGGTGGATATGCCGGCCTTCAACAAGATTTGTTTCTGGCAACAGATGCCTTTATTGCGATTCCAGGAGAAATCATGGAAAGCGGAAATGCGGCGGGTGTATTCAAAGCAGTCCGGAATCATGCGCCAACTGCCATCCTCCGACCACCGATTGCAGTTGCCAACGCACTTGGGCAGGCTCTGTTGGGTGCGACGAACTCTTTGGACCCGGGAAATAGACAGAGAGCCGATGATGTAAGTTTTTACTATTTCTTCTGCATTGGGACACTGCTAATTTGTACGCTTACAGAAATATAAGAAGCATCGTTAAGGGTGATGACAATGTTTTTGCATAGGGCATAGGGAAGCGAGTCGGTTTTTGTTCTTTTTTGTCTTATATTTGAGCGACCTTTTTTCTTGCATCAGATTGGAGTTGCATCAGCACGCATATTCACCATACATTCTTCTCTTCTCTTCTCAATTTCGCAGGGCGCTTAGGCATATGAGTTTATAACAGGGCTCGGGTTTGGATTGAGGGGAAAGGAACCAACGGCATCCATTCATAGAGTGGTAACCACCTTTGTTTCTTTCGTCAGACTAGACGGATTTGATCCTAATTAAATTGAAAATTGAGATCAGCACATGAAAAAATTCATGTGCGATACTTCTAGAATTTTTGCTTGTGATGTTTGATACGTCGTATTCACATGCATAGCTCGGATATGTGAAGTAAGATACGACGTCGATATTAACATTCCCATTTGCTTTCAGCCTTCTCGTGTGGCTGTGAGTCAGCCTGACTGCCTGGGAGCCGTATATTTATTTTCCTTCGCGTAGGAATGGTGATACAAGTATATCGCTCTTTCTCTCTCTTGGATAATGGGGTTTTTGGCTCTGGCCTTCGGAGATCGGGATGTGATTTTCAGCCAATCATTTCATTGTGGTCGTTGGTCGTTGGTTGTTGGCTGTCCGGCATGCATGCAGCTGTATGCGGGTTCGCAGCGAAGCAGAGCAGAGTTCCCTGAATCGGTGTGCCGACGATGCATACGGGTAGGTAAGCCAGCCGATGGGTTCATTCGGGTTTGGGCACCTCTTTTTAGACTTTTGGGCTTTTGGTGTTTGTTGTGGGGAGATGGGTATTGGTTGTTGTGATTATTGTCGATGGTCAAAAATGGGGTAATTATAATATTGCTGTGTATTTATGGTTACTACCTTTTAGAGCGTTTTATTTGATACGGCAAATAGTGTTCTAGGTTTTGTCGGATGGGATGTTCCTTTCGTGGTTTTTCTTGCTCGGGTACATGTACAGTACAGCTGCACTTGGACCATGTGATCTGCGATTTTATAGATGGATTTCCTTTTTGCGATGGTTGGTGGCTGGATTGGGCGGTGAGATGAGCGTTGCATAATGTCATGACTGGAGGAAAATACTGGAAGTACAGGCTGACGCTGACCTGACTACCTATATTGCAGCCTTATGGTGTGCGTGAAGATTCTAGTGTTATGATGTTATCCAGACTTAATTAGTGGTCAGAAATCTTACCTACTTACAGTAGCTAGGTACTCCTACGAGTACCCATCAAACTTGACTAGCATTCTTCAGGCTATAACGGATCCGATCTCGCTTCTCGAGCCAAAAACTCGCCATCACCACCATAATACTGTAATTAATCTAGCTGGATCGACGCCAGCATTGACGTTTCTCAACGTTTGCATGCTTGTTCCCAACTTTACATATCCGCATCCACATCCACATCCACCGTCACACTCCAAAGGTCGCATGTTCATAGTCGGTTCAAGCCAGAACGTACACTAGCCCTTTGCATACACATACTTGCAGCCAAGTAATAAGAGAGTCGTCGTTCAATCTTCCCCTTTTTTCGCCTCAGCCATGCGAGTGGTTGCGTCGCCTCCCACAGTCAAGGGTCAACCCTAAAGGCAAAGGTTCATGGTCGTCGGTGGATGTGGACATGGGCGTGGTGCCAAGTAAGGATAAAACGTCTTCCCACGCTCTAGAAAGAGGAAGAAGAAGCCAAATGATCCCTTCCAATGCTTCCATCCAAACCCTTTACCTTTCCACGGCAAACACTAAATGGGGTAACACTCGTGGCCCCATTGACTGTGTTCATTTGAATTGCGAGCGTTGGCTTCGAAACCCTCCCTCTCGTCCCTTGATCCCGAGACTTCCAGATAAATTACTCGAGACTCGGTATTCGGACCAGCCCAGCGTAACAAGACAACACATCCATACTCCATACTCCCGACTCCAGATTCCAGACTCCATACAAGTACCCCGCCAACGAATCTATTCTATTCCTGTGTGTTTCAAAGAGCTGGAGCTGGATGTGTAAACGTTCTTTAGATCCGGATGTGTAAACGTTCTTTAGATCCGGATGGCAGTGCCGCGCCCTTTGATGGGATTCCGCCATCTCACGCTGCGCGTGCGAATTCGGAATAGATGGACAACGGATACACGTTGGCCGCCGTGGTCGTTCTAGGCGCATCCACAAATATGTTGGAGAGTCTGGAATGACTGGACCTGATACCGAGGAACACTTGTCCTGGCAGATTGGTTAGATAATCATGCATATGCCCCTATTGTAACTTTTTCGGAGATCAATATGCAGTCAATAAACAAATTTACCTTTATGATGACTTTATATAAGACACTGTCCGCAAAAATAGCAGTTTCGGTCGCTAGGTAGGCAGAGAAGTGGTGAGTACGGGTACTGTACTGGTACTGGCTGGTACTGGTGGTACTGGTACCAGTCGGGGCGCAACGTACGGAGATACCTAGTCACCAAGGGGCGCTTGCCCTGTATGGGGATCGGTCATGGTCATCGGCTAGCCTCCCGGGGATTTGATGGTGAATTCCAGCTTCAAGGGTCCAAGGGGCCCTCTGGTGCCATCAAGGCATCCGAGTCAGCGCGGTGTTTGTGAGACCACTGACCAGACCAGCAGCAAGTGCGTGCTGTGTAAGTGCAAGTGCCTAGGGGTGACCCATTAATTCTGTTCCGCCAGCGAACGCTCGACTACAAGTATAACTCATCTCCCTCGCCCAGCTGTGATTCACTTCCGCCCTGATCTTGCTCTTCTCTCTTCCGAAATAAAGACAAACTACAAGTACAGTAGACCATAAAAGGTTGTCCCCGTCCCCCCGGTCTCCCAAACACAACACCACCACCACCCGCCCGCACCTTCCGCTTTGAATCGCCTCTTTGACTTGAGCCTCTTGCCCTCATCCGCAACCACTTACAACTCTTCCACAAACAGACCACCACTTTCATCTCCACTTTCACTTCCACCACAGCCACACTCTCCCTCCCTCGAAACTGTACCATCGATCCTTCTAGCAACTCCAGACTCTAGCGCCGCGCCACATCGCAACCCTCTGGACCTGACCTTATCTCATCCTCTCCATCACGCCCACTTTACCATTCGCCACTTTATACCTCCCAACGTTCGCCCAAACAACTCTCAAAATGGTTTCTTCAACCTCAAGTTCACGATCCGCCTCACCCGAGTGCACCGAGACAATGCAGATATTCGTCAAGAACACCGCTGGCACTAGTAAGCGCTCCATCTCCTATGTTTACATCCCGTCCCATCCCCATGAAACTGCGAGAAAGAACAACGAGACTGACCAATTTCCCAGCAATCGCTCTCACAGTGCCACAAGACATCTCCGTCGAGAACCTCACAACCCTCCTCTCCCTCCGCACATCTCGCCCTTCGAGCGACCTTCGTCTCGTGCACGCTGGGAAACACCTCTCGCCGTCCTTAACCCTCGCCGACTACCACATCTCCCGCGAATCCACACTCCACGTCGCATTCCCATTAAGAGGCGGCATGCCACCCAAGAAACTACGCTGCACATTCAAGGACTGTAGGGAAGGTGCGCAACGCATCATTGGGGACTGTGGGTTCTGTAATGGTCACTACTGTGGGAAGCACCGACTGTTAGAGGACCACAAATGTGATGGATTAGAAGACGTAAGCTGCCCTACTTCCCTGGAATCTCCCTCGAAAGACGAGATCCAATGGTGGAAAGTTGGTCTAGGCGATGTTCTTGCAGAATTCATGGCTAACAATGAACCCAATTACAGTGTAAGAAGGAATCCCACGACCGCAACGCCGCACAACTTAACGCAGAGCGAACACAAGTAATCAAGGGAATCTAGGGGATGAATGTGGAACAGCTCGGCTGTTGTGACTGCCATTGTATATGTGACTACCATCCGAACGACGGCGTTTTTTTATATGGCCGATGGGGAGGTCCATCGATGCATTGTATTTACTGTGCTCCTTCTTCTGTTATGAGCCTGCGACTTGCGACCTATTTGGCGATCTTTTAGCGGGCGTAATATGGTTCCCTCGAAAGAGACCGGAACCCGGTCACTCTACGTGTGGTTTAGAATAATGGGAGGACATCTAAACACACAAACAACCAATAACAAATAAACTTCTTCAATTACTTTCTTCGTGACTGAATTGTTATGATTCTGATTTCCTGTTTGCCTGTTGCCTAGGAAATTGTGATTCGAAATGGACACGAGAATATGACGATGCTCCACTTGGTTGGAACAAGTTTCTTGACTCGAAATTCGCCCCTCAAACCTTCTTTATAAAACCTGCAATTTACTTGACATTCAGTACTCGGTCCAGCCGGTATCAATCGAGCTTATGACGACGACCTCACGCGGATTCGTGTACGTATGATGTTTCCACTCCAAAGTCTTGTTTCATGTCATGCCAATAAAAGTATTACTATTAAACAATTCCTATTCCCTATATATCGCCCTCATATACAATTTCAACATGACTTCATTAACCCATTTCCAAAGCGGACTTAGACCCATATATATATATATATCATTTGTAACTTTTTGTTTTTATTTAGTATTGTCTAACCTGGGATGGTATGTATTGCTACTTACCCAGCCTCTGAGACAAGCCCGTAGACTCAAAGCCGTGCGCACCTTCATTTCTTCATGTCGACGACGCAACGGATGCAATCACCCTGCTTCATCGTCTCGAAGGCACTGTTGATCCCGTCCAAGTTCTTGCGGTGGGTTATGAACTCGTCCACCTTGAGCTTACCCTTCATGTAGTCATCGACCAAATCGGGAAGTTGTGTACGACCTTTGATACCACCAAAGGCGCAACCTTTCCAGACTCGGCCCGTCACCAGTTGGAATGCTGCGGCTAAAGTCAGTATTGATTTGGATTTGGAAAGCGGATACAATGAGGGGGAACAAACGGCGGGTAGAAATCTCCTGTCCAGCAGCAGCAACACCAATAACGATACTCTGGCCCCAACCCTTGTGGCAAGCCTCCAATGCTGCGCGCATCACGCCAACATTGCCCGTGCAATCAAAGGTATAATCGCATCCTCCATCAGTCATCTCAATCAGCTTCTCTTGAATGGTCTGGCCCTTCAGATCAGCGGGGTTCACAAAGTCCGTGGCACCAAACCTGTCAGCCCAATCCTTCTTGTTGGGATTGAGGTCGACGACAATAATCTTTCCAGCCTTTCGCATCACAGCTCCTTGGACGACTGAGAGACCGACACATCCAGCTCCAAAGACAGCAACGGTTGAGCCCTCCTCGACCTTGGCCGTTTCAACTGCCGCACCGTAACCAGTGGTGATTCCGCATCCAAGGAGACAGGTTCGATCCATGGGTGCATCTTTGGTGATGGCCACCACCGAGATATCTGCCACGACGGTGTATTGAGAAAAGGTCGAGGTGCCCATGAAATGCAAGAGATCCTTGCCCTTGCACTTGAATCTCGACGTGCCATCGGGCATGACTCCCCTTCCTTGTGTGGCTCTGATCTTACCACAAAGGTTGGTCTTGCCGGACTTGCAGAACTTGCATTCTTTGCATTCGGGTGTGCTGTTTTTTTAATATCGTGTGAGTTGGATGAGTTTAAGGATGGAAGAAGAGGAGCCAGGGAACAGAAAGAATGTTATCTTACTAGAGTGCTACGACGTAGTCTCCTGGTTTAACAGATGTAACGCCCTCTCCGACGGACTCCACGATTCCAGCACCCTCATGACCCAGGACGATGGGGAAAGCTCCCTCAGGATCCTTGCCTGAGAGTGTGTATGCATCTGCAGTAACTGATCAGCCGCCTGAGCTCTTTTCCTTCTACGACATCTAGAAAGACAGTTGTATTCATACCCGTGTGACAAACTCCTGTGTAGTGGATTTCGATTCGGACTTCGTTTGCTTGTGGTGGTGCAACCTCGATGTCCTCGATGGTCAAATCCTTTCCTGCTTCCCATGCAACCGCCGCCTTTTCAAACTTGTTATTATCTTCTCATCATCGCTCTCTTCGTTGGGAAATGTCATATAAATCACTTCCGTGGACTTTACGAACCTTGCAGGTGATTGTCTGTGATTCAATTAGCTTCCGTGACGTAGGTCCAACCCGCCCAGCTCTCTCGGGAGGGGTAAAAAGGCAAGCATACCTTTCCGACGGTCGACATTGCTCGCTAGTGCCGTAGCAGCGCTTTATGCTTTTCGGAATGGGATGGATGGGATGGAAAATAGTGGTAAGAAGAGCACCTTGATGTCTACTTTTCTTGCCGGGGAAATGCAGAAGCTTAAAAGAGGAAGTTGCGGATTGGAGAGCGAGATGAGGGGAGCCGGAGGGTTAGGAGTTAGGGGGTAGCTGAGTCTTTGATCGAATGGTGCTCATATGGATGAGGGGCTCATCTGCGTTGGAGTGGAGGGGCCGTATCTCGGGATTTCCTCGCCGTTTGGCGCTTCGAAAGAGGGGCAATGCACTGCCAAATTCCCATTCTTGGATGACGGCACTTGCGAATCATCGGAGGCCTTTCGGCATTGGTTGGATGTGAAGAAGGGATTATCTTTCGCTGCCAAATAGAGTTTGAGGACATCATGTCAACGTGGGGGAGTCGACAATCCACGGCGGGAATCTTTTCTCCTTTTGGAGATGTTTTTTCTGAACCATTTCGGAGTTAGGCGTTACACCTTGTACAGATATCTCATAGGTATAGGGAGAACTTTGCAGATAACTTAAGAGGACTTGATTCATTTTGAATGAGTCAGACCGATCAACAGCTTAACTTATCCTCTTGATTTAAGAATCTCCGCGATTCCGGAAAGGTCCGTTGCGAGTTGGGTGTTGAAGCCGCCGCCTAAATGTTTATGCTGGCCGCATGGAAAGCTCATTGCCGAAGAAAGATAAAATAGCCAAGGACCTCCGCACGAGGTACTCAAGGCTATTCTACTCCACTTGCGGCTCAAGAGATGCGTGGAACTCGAGGTGCCATGGCCGATTTGGAATCAGTATCTGGATTGAAAATTGCGACAGCAAAGATTTTGGAATGGCGGTCTGCTAATGGGAATTGGTACGGATTTTTCTGATGCAATGATAACATGACAAAACTTGCATCAGTTCACATTTTTGAGGAGTCGTCAAGTTTGGCTCTTGGAGAGATTGTAGGACAGCGAGATTAATTCCTCGGAGGTAAGGTATAACATATTTTCCACGACCCAAAGCCTAGAAATACTTCTTGAAAGATAAAGAGAAAGGATCGGAAAAGATTTTCAACACCCTACTTGGTGCTATATTGAAAGCTAGCGAACAGACTTCTATGAGAACTAATGATCCACATTTAGAGAGGAAGTATTGATAGCAGTTGCCCGACCATAACTCATACCTAGGAAATACTATACCTAGTAAGATGAAGAATGGTTGCCTACACCTTGTAAGGAGCAATTTAAGCGAGCAGCAAAATCACCAGGGCCAAAAAAAGACATTTGAACAGAAGGGGAGGAAACATGCAAAACTTTAGCGCTATCGCAGTTGTAGGGCACATTGATTCTTGAACGGTAACAGATGAACCAGATTCATTTAAATGAAATAGGAAGATCGTTTCAAACAAATGCATCTACCTATTCTATGACTTCCTTGGGGTACCCAATGCCACAATCGCCGTTGAATACTGTTATTTGAAATATCTCAAGCAACAAAGTAGAATGGAATAGAATTGGTAACTCCGGCAAGGTTTAAACAGAGTTGACTAGCTCCATAATTAGTAAATGATATCCCTTCCAGACACCAGAGTTGCAAAAAAAAACGTACACTTAAAGTAGATATAGGTAGATACGACAACTAGGTCACATTAAGGCTCAAATGCTTGGAAACATTGCCTGGTTAGCTAAATGACTTTATTTTACAGGGAAGATGTTATAAAAGTAGATACGTGTACTCCATCTTAAGTACACGTTTTTTCTTTGCAACTCTAGTGTCTGGAAGGGATACTACTTTTCCAATCACGAGTCGATTTCTAGGCCCCCAAAAGAACTCAGCTATTTCTTATGCTACATATCCCTACCAAATCAACTTTAACCTACTTAAGAAATATAAATACACGGGAACTCTAGGAAACTATAGCTTATTCCCCTAGTCGCGCTATCTTAGTAATTTTCTACCACGTTAGTTCTTACCTACCCTAGAGAAAACCTATATTTTAAATTCCTTAGTACTACGGTTAATAACTTTTTAACTACTACAAATTTTATAGTTATAGTAATACCGTTACTATTAATTTTAAAGAGAGCAATGCGATTTTCCTCATGCTAGCGGTTTATGCTCTTCAATTAGAATCTATAAATAAAGCACCAACTAAACGGGGATAACAGTCTCACTGTATATACACAACACTAACCACTGAGGCTTACTGTAGCAACACCTACATGTTCTGCAACTACAAGTAACAACACAAGCCTACAGAGCGAGTCACTCGCAGCCAAAACGGCCAATACACCCTGTACTTCACAGGATCCTGCCGTCTTGCTAAATATAGAGTGGCTCAATCTACAACTCATTTTCTTGATAAAGATGCAGCCAAAAAATATCATCACTCTCTACAAACTTTCAGCGAAAATACTCAAGTATGGATGATTTTATTGCAGCGTTGGTGTGTCCTTTGACCTACAAAGGAGACAGGAAAAAGCGACTTTCTGGATGGCATGCTGGTGTAGCTTCTTGTTGTATGGTAACTTTTGCCGTTCTGGTTATCAACTCAGTTCTGCTCGTCTGGGCTATATCCAAGAGGGGTGTCAAAAATGGTTATAGTGAGTGTTCCTCCAATACTTGAGACCGTGGATTCATCATTGAGTAACCAGACGAAGATGTTTGCGGAGTCTAACATCATGTTTTCCATGTATCTTGTCTCGTGGGGATTGCGAGAAAGCCAAATCAATGAGCACATTTCTACACATACTGATTAATGTGCTCAGTACTGCTTTGCTTGGAGCGAGTAACTACACAATGCAGTGTCTTCATGCTCCAACCAGAGCCCAGGTTGATAAAGCACATGTCCAGAGAAAATGGGTGGATACAGGGATCCCCAGCTGGCGAAATCGGCATTGGGTGAGTAACAAGGACGTTATTTTGTGGTGGATTCTGGTATGGAGTTCCGCTCCTTTACATCTACTGTAAGTTGATGTTGGCGGTGGGAGAATAAGGAGTCCTAGGATTCCAACTAACAGAGCTGCAGCTATAACTCATCGGTGTTTTTAGAGGTACCTACCTGCACAAGAATACGACGTTGCTTTCGTTTCTCAAGAGCATGCTTTGAGACTTGCGGCTAACGACATTGGTGGCGGCCTAACGAGTATGACATGGTAGCAATGCTCATCAACATCTGATAACCCTGTTATATTTGCCTATACCAGTTTATTGCTTGTAACGCTAGAGACGGAACACCTTCTCGTGAATTTTGGGAACAATAATATCACCGATCCCGCCGCCAGAATTTGTCTATCCAAAGATGTCTGAGGTCAAGCTTGGCAGCCAAATAGAATGGCGGCTGGGGGATAAAAGTGCTGCAATAAGCAGTGGAAAGAGTTTACCTCTTGTCTCATGCCTCAACCAAACTCTCAAGCAACAATCTTGCAAATTGGAGTTCAGCGTTCCGATTATCGTGGTGGTCATGTTTTGCAACTTGAGCAAAGTTCTTTGTATGGCCTTCACCCTTTGGTATTCAAAAGGAACGAAGCTTGTAACCCTTGGTGACGCAATTACAAGCTTTTTAGAAACTCCAGATTCCACGACGAAAGATTCATGTCTAATGTCGAAAGATGATGTTCAAAGAGGGAGGTGGACAAGACCAAAATGTCCAGAAAAGTGGGTTCCTATCACAGAGAAAACGTTCTATGCAGCAAATGCGAGACGCTTCTTTATTGTGAGCATTAGGTGAGCCACAGCGAGAAGATACAGTTCAATACAAAAGAATGGAACCGCTGACTGGGGCAGTTTTATCTTATTTATATGTGCTTGCTTTCTCGCTTCCATTTTGACGGGGTGGTGGGGGCAATATCAGCCCACGAGTTTCGGAAAGGAGTTGGATTTGGAGATTCGATGAGCCAGGCACCTGCGCTTCTTGATACCAATGTCAGGAATGACGATGCTTGGGGTCTTCTGTTTAACGTACTACTTGCCAACATACCCCAGTCACTGGTCTCTCTACTCAACCTTTTTTACAACGGTCTCTTGACAAGCTTTCTCCTAGGGGACGAATGGACGAATCTCGCACACCGACGACAGCCATTACGTGTCACCGAGCCAAAAGGATCGCAGAAAAGTCAGTATTACCTCACAATCCCGTATCAGTATGGGATTCCCGCGATGGTCTTATCAACCGTTCTCCACTGGCTTGTAGCAGAGTCCTTTTTCCTGGTCAGCATTACAGCTGTGCATCAAGGAATAGAACGCCTGGAAGACTCCATTTCGTCTCTTGGATACCCACCTTTAGCGATAACTCTTGCTGGCATAATATGCTGCATGATGCTTGCTCTGATCGATCTCAAAGCCCGTCAGCGGTTGAAACAAGCGAGCCCCTTAGCAAGCCACTGCAGTGCTGCCACTAGCGCAGCGTGCCACCCTTCCAGAGACGAGGTCGGCTTGGAGACAAGACCAATTCAGTGGGGAGTTGTACAGGGTGCTGACCAGAGCATTGGAAGCTGGAAGAAGCGAGGAAAGAACTTTGGACATTGTTCACTCAGTGGAGAGTTTGTTTCTCCCCCCACCCCAGGATACTATTATGCTTGAATCTCGATCTCAGGACTCTGGGCGAGGCTTGGTTGGACATTGACCGGGACGACTTGATGGTGCTTACAGGTGGGGCAGGAAAGATCGTCAGGTGTCTCCAACGCTCGCCACTCGCGCCCTAGGGGATCAATAGGAGTCAGGTACCTAGAGGAAAGAACGAAGGACCTCAAATCGACAAAAATCGAAACGTCGACACCGCATCCCCTTCAATTTCAAACTTTTCGCAATGGCCTCCTTCCTCTTCTCTTCCATTGGTAAACCACGATTTTGGTCTTCGAAGGACGCGGTTGACTCGAGATAAAACTGCGTGGGATTAGAGGTGATCCCCCTGATTCATACCCCATCTTCTCTTGTGAGTTCGTTTGCCTGGAAGAATAGCAATCAGTACCACCAAAATAACTTCCTTGATACCCAATCTGATTGACGTCAAATCCAGACAGTGATTCACAATTCGCTATTAGTGCTGCATTTAGGTTTTGCCGTATGCTATGCTACTTGTGCCGCGGCTGATTTGGCGAAAGAATTGACTCCAAAGAGAACCCATACAGTGTGCTGTGGGGAGTGATCGCATTGGAAGTTGTAAAATCTGTTGCTGCTATTTCAGGATGCCATTATGGTCATGCCTTGGGGACACTTGTTAAACACTGATCAAAGTAAGCCAGCCATTCTCCATACGAGTCTTGACACAAAGTCCAGTCCATTACCATGATACCAAGGAAACCACCACTTAGAATCTTAGATAGACAAGCTCAAGACAAGCTACCACACAACCAAAAATACAGCCCTTTGATTTCATTTCATTGAAATAAAAGCAATTAAAGAGCAAGTGAGTCAGACAGAAGAACAAAAACCAAACACAAAAAACCAAGCACACATCAAGGCTTCCCCATTCACTTCCCCTCTCTTTCTTCGCTCCCATCTGTAACATAGGAAACTCACCTACCTAGTTAGGTATCCACTCCCTACTCATACCAACAAGACAAGAAACCCTCGATTCGCATAAAAAAAATAAACGTTCAGACTTACCCCCCGAGCCCCCATACATACAACAACCTCCCCTCCCCTCCCCAATACACAAGACCAGATCAGCATCCCAAGCAACATGAAACAACCCAACCCATCACTTCAACAATAAAGCACCGCCAAAACTCAACACTAATTACTAACCTAAAGCTATCTCATGTCACTCTCGCTATCACTTCACAGTCACACAAGCCAATCCACATAATACATAGCAGATTCAACCCAAAGTCCAAAATTCCAACATCCACAACAACCATTTCTCTTCCTAATTACTGTAGAGAAACACTCAGCTGAAAAGAAAAACTCACAGGCTAGAGACCAAGCAGGCTATTTGCACCTGTTAAACAGAACTAGAAGTGGGAATTTCAAAACGTATATACAGACGCAGAAACAACGAGGAAGAAAAGAGTGCTTAGGAACAAGTAAAGCACTCAAATATCATCAAATATTGCTCCCCCAAACAGTATTTGAAGAATCATTTTTGGACAAGACGATATAAAGTAACCAACCAACATGGTATCAAGAATTCGAACTTCATCTCCGCTGCAGAGAAAAAAGACCAATCGAGGAAAGCCACAACGCTACCAAGAAAAGAAGTCCTTTCAAGGCCTGGATAGGTAATAGGAAGATCGCTTATTTGTACACATCAGTAATGCCCAAATGTACAATACAGTACAGTACACCAAAGGGAAAAGAAAGCCCGCTCGAAGGAATATACATAAGCACACCCCCCTCGATTCATAATTCCATAAACCGTTAATAAAAAAGAGTTAGTGTAAACTCCTCGGCTGCAATTCACATCCCACATCCACAGTCCCCCATCCACAACTCGAAAGATAGGTACCAACTCCCCGACCAACTATTCCCCAGCCCAGCTCAAGCCCCCTTTCCCAGCGCCGACTCCGCAGCAACTTTCGCCTCCATCTTCCGTCGGGCAGCCAAGATCATCTCTTCCCTCCGTCGCTGTAAGAGCGCCTGTCGCTCCCCCTTATTAGTGCTCCAAGCCTGTTGCGCGCCGGATTTCGGGACGTCGGCTGCTGCCGTTTCCGCGGCGGCTTTCTCTTCGAGGATCTTCGCTTTGAGGTTGTAGCGTGTGATGAGATCGGGATGTACGGGTTTGCTAGCTACGGAAGCAGCTGTGGAGGCCGAGGGTGGTGGTAGAGGTGGTTGGAAAGATTGTGGTGGCTATTCCAACAAGACACATTAGCTCAAACCATTTCCAAAGAAAACAATCAACCCATTCCCATTCCCATTCCCTAAAATACCCACTTCCCACGCCCCAAATACCAAACCAAACCAAGCAGCATAGAGATAAAAACAGAAAAAGAAAAAAAAAGAAAACCAAGGTAAACTCACAACCTCCAACCCCCTCCCACTCAACACCCTCTCCGTCGTCGCCACCACATTCCCCCCATTCCGCTGCAAATCCCACATGATGCTCCTCCTCTCCACCTGCGGAAACATCTGCTGTATCCTCTCCACGTCCGCCTCCCTCGCCCTCAGACTACTGCCCGCCCTCGTCGTCCTCCCATGCGGATTCCCTCCCGCCGACCCTGGCGTACTGGAGAAGAAGAACCACCGGATCGCCAACCCGCCCAGCAACAAGATGAGAACCAGTTGGGGGAGATTGATCGTCGGATCCGTGGATGACATGTTTTGCGACGGGGGTGTTTTGTGATCGCGCGTAGATTTGAACGTGGCTCCCAAAAGGCAAGGTGGAGGTCGTGTGAGTGAATGTCAGGGACCTTCCGGAGCTTAGTGGCCCCGTTCACTGAAATATCCTGCTCGGATTTAATGGGAATTGATGTCGGTGGTCGCCTGAAGCTTCGAGATGATTCCAAGCACTGGAAACGCGGATGCAAAATTCATTGGAATAATGAATGGATGATGCTGTTCTATGGCGACCAAATCAAAGGTACTTGAAGCATTCACGTGACATATCTCTTGAGTCAAAACCTAAGGGACGGCTCGGGCGATCACTTAAGAAAAAAAGATAGAAAAATTGCACTCAAGCTATACGAGGACTGGAGAGCGAAGAAAAGGCGGTAGACTACCGTTGTGTTTCATGAACTATTAGTTGCCATTCACAAACCTCGCCGGGTTGTAGCAACGCCTAGTAAAACCGCATGCCTGCCCCATACTCCAACGTATGTAAAGGCAGAGAATGAGTTTGAACGCCGTCCTTTCAGTAACCATGGAACAGGTATGTTTGATCACGGCATTGATATGACCGCATAAACCCACGCTGCTATATACCACACTATCCGCCCATGTTGATCAAAAATACAGCCCGTGATGCCACCAACCCAGTCCTAGATACCCCATCACCATCCTACTCTCAAACTAGCCTACGCGACTAACAGGGCCACTCGGCAAGCTTTCGAGGTCCTCGTAGATTAATGTCAATTCACGCTTTCGGTTATTGATTAGCCAACGTCTAGTGCCAAGGGGTATCACAACTTACGCGTTCTCGCTGCCACAGCTTGATATCGAAAAAGATATAATAGCCCCTCTCCGTGCCATTGCCAAGTGTTTGGGGAACCATCATATCATCCTTTGTAAGCCATTGCTGCAGCTTCTTGTGATATCGCCAGTTGCGGGTGTGGCTAGTGAGTTTTTGATTAGCAGCTAAAGAAGCAGATTACCCAAAGGTGACTTACAGCTCTTGTGCGGCCATAACCTGTTGGATGTCGCCAGGATTGCTGTAGAACATAAAGATTAAGGCCTCGTCATTGAAGTTTTGTATCTTGCTCTCCAAAGAATTGACATTGTGTACACGGTAGCATTCAGGTATAGAGAATTGAGGAATGGCAGGTCGACTTGGCTCGTTATCCCATACAGAATATACCTCGCCGGAGAATGGTCTAAGAATCCGTTAGAATCGCTGCGCAGCAGGCATTCCTACAGGCGTGTTTACTTACTCAGGAGAGGTGAGGTCAAAGCCCAGATTGGTTATACTTGATCCATTCACTAGAGCGGAATAGTCTGGAAAGTTGTTCATCATAAATGACCATCCTTTCAAGCCCCATTTGTCGATCCCGGACATATGCGCCAGAGGATCGTGAGCTCGTTGACCAGGTTCAGGTTCATCTGCATCCTGAGAGGATGGAGAGCCTGGCTCGGCAGTATGCGATTGCGAAACGGCCATCTCAGAGTGCTGTGGTAGGCCATCTGGCCGAGGGTTGGTTCTTGAGGGCATGGCGGGATGTGGTGTGGTGTTTTCACGCGCCGAGGTTGATGGGAACTGGGAATTTGAGAAAGGCTGCAACTGAGGTTAGTGTACGTTCACCTTTGACGGGACAATAATTCACAACTTACGCTACTGTCTTCGCCAACACCACCTTGACCTTGTGAGGGATCAGTTTGTTGCCTTGGATTTGAGGCCCCTGAGTCACAGATTAAGCTGGGTTCAAGATGGAGGAGGTGGAACACCCAGATTCTTACCTGGCAAGCCTGTAGGTGTAATGTGGTTCCCGGGTGGTGCTCTACCACTTCCTGATAGGGCATTCAGCAGACCATTGTTCCGACTCGGCTGAGGAGGATTTGCCGAGCCAAAACCCAACCCGTTCGCTGGAGCACCAAAACCGACATTTGGGATTAAACTTGAGCCACGATCCTGACCAATTTCGCCATTGGCATTACGATTGAGAGGTGGGAATTCGTCAGCGGTATTGGATTGTGATGTTTGACCAACTGCGTTTTGGTTTCCAAAACGGAAGCCACCTTGATTACTGGGTAACTGCGACGACGAGTTGAACAAATCGTCCTGCTGCTGCTGCTGGGTTTGCTGTTGGGTATTCATCTGTTGCTGTTGTTGTTGCTGTGAGGAGAGTGCTGATGGTTGCATTCGTAGGTTCGCAGAGGGTCCCAGATTCCGATTCCCAGTAGCTGCCCACGTTGACTGGCTTGGTTGAGTTTGGTTGTTTGATAATGAGGGGAATTCTCTGGTATTATAAATCAGTCAAAGTCCCTGGACAAGAAGATTCACTTTCTGGCGCGGTCCCAATCCGCTAGGATGGACACTCGCTCTAAACATGTACTTTGAGTGTCCATACGTAAAGGATCCTATCCACTTACGAAAGGTCTAGAGGTGCTGCTGCTTGGGAGGAGCCTCCAATAGTTTGCGCAAAGCTCGTCATAGGTCCATTATTTGGTCGAGGGTTTCCTAGCCCAGCGTTTCCCATTGGTACTCCTCCACCAAAAGCCCATGTTGCCCCATTACTTGCTATATTGTCCAATACCGTCAGCGCATGTCCCAGTTCTTTATAACTACTCTCAAGCCCACGGAGCATCCATACCCATCTTTCCACCTGGGGGTAATCTTCCTGATATGCTGCGGTTCTGGGGTAATTGTTGTTGGCTTGGGAAGCCGTTTGAAAGGCCGCGAAGAGATTGGGGTCCGACAGCTATGTATGAAGATTCTCTGGTCAGTGGACGGGTCTGTAAAACAAGAAAGCTAATAACAAATGGTGAAAGCCGAAGGTAGGTCGGTTGGTTGATGCGGTAGGTATTCTTTTGAGGCGCAGCCTCCCACGCCAGACCAACAATCGCTCCTCAGCTCTTTCCCAAACACATGAACGTTTCTCAAGGTTTCTGGGATTTGATGAGACTTCTCAGACTTCTCAGCGCAAGTCGCGTGAGTTGGGGAGATCGGTTGTCGCAAAGCCAGAAGGGGACCTTGTGCTCTAGCAATGCTTCAACAATTGTTGAACAACAGGAACATAAGCAATTCTAATCATCAAAAGAAGCATTTGCGCTGGTAGAAAGCAATAGCTCCTCCACAAACCCCCACAAGGACAAGCCAGCCCTCCCAGAGATGAACATACGCAGCGGCAGCGGGGCTCCTGGGGAAAGACGACAGCATTTGACGGGCGATCATACCTGGCCGATTCATGGTGGTGGTTTTTTTTAGGTCGTTGTGATTCTAGAATTCGCAGAGAGGAAGAGAGAGATCGGATATGTGTGCGGATCAGGAGAAGGCTGTGAGTTTGGAATCTATCTAGGCAGTTCTGATGCCCAGTTGCAATTACATGGGGAACAGCTTGCATGACTACGTCCGATTGGCGTTAGTGGTCGGCTCAATTCCACCTACCCCTACCCTCAGATCTTAGGCCACAAGATTTTCAATAACCCAAAGACCTCTCCTTGTACTTTTCTCTTCATCTTTTTCTTTCCTTTTCTGAGCATTAGGAAAGAAATCATACACAAAACAGTGAAATCCATATTGATTTGGACACTGCCACAACCATATTGATGTGGTAACGCTTGTAAAAGCAGGCACTTTGTAAAACTGTAAACATGCTGGAGACATATTAGAAGACTGGGGGTATATTCAGGGAAATTTTAGGTCTTTCTCTTAATTAGTCTAAACTAACAGCACACTTGGTTTAGTTGTTCGAGGCATTCAAGTATAACATCCTCCTGACTTGAGTTGCCTCACATAGCGGCGCAAACTCTACATTCAAGTCCCTTATACTCGTACGTCATCCCCAAATCCATCCTTCTACTCATCCAAACACTTTACATATCATATATGCCTTATATACTCTTCTATCACTCCACGCTTTCGACACTGCATGCTTTTCCAAGAACCACCTTTGGTCAAAGATACGGGTCGACAGGCCACCAGCAGTCATTGCTGTGGAAAGCTGGGATGTCAGAATTTTGGAACTGTTGTATCTTTTTCTCAGTCATTTGAATTGATGTTCAGCAGAAAAACTTCGGCAGGCTTCCCTCGATGTTTCATTTTGATATGAGTCAAAAACTTTCACTGTGCTGGGTACTTGACCTCCGTGTTGAATCATAACCAAAATCATAAGTTCCATCTCCAACCACACCAGCCATTTCTTGCACTTGATCTGACGCAGGTTGTATTTGCGGACCCCTCTGTCCTGCGTATACCCCAGATTTGGCGTCAGCCTCTTTGTCTTCGAGATTCATCGATGCAAAAATACTTTTCATGTCGCGTAAACCTTCCGCAGGTAGATCTTTGGGCGCTGAAGACCGCTCTTCAACGAATTTGCGAATAGACCGTATGATTGTAGGGTAGCCTTCATCGTTGGGGTGCCACCAACGCATGCAGCTTTCATCGTGGAAGAGGCCGGCCATTTTCTTTCGGAAAGTATAAGGGTAAATATAACTGTTGGAGCAATCAGTAAAATTCTCAGAAAGTGATTCGCCAATGCACTCACCCATTACTCTCAACAACAGATAGCTTCCTCCGCGCCCACATAGAATGTCTGTCGTCTTTTGGCAGAAACAAAACACTGATCGCAATGCTTGCCTGACATGCCGCTATAGTTCCAGGTGGACTGCCAGGCCATAACTCCATTGCTTCGAATAGTTGACAGCTCACATAAGCCTTGTGAACAATATCAGCGCTTGGCTGTGTCTGAGTTGTTGAAGCAGTCTGATATCTATGCATCAGATCAATGGAATGCCAGTCAATGGAAGCCACATTCATTGCGTACAACGGGCCGCTATAGATAATGCCAGGTATGTAAGGATCCACAATGTCGTTCGGATCTCGAGGAGGAGCTCCGCTGAAGTCATTAACCTTGTAGCGGTCGTCCATAAGAGCAGGATCCATCTTGGTTTGCCATTCTTCAATCCTCGTGCCAATCTGTGCATTCTCAACCATAAATTGCTCAATAGATATCTCCCCCTTTCCCATTTTGGCGAACAGAAGTGACATGTCGGTTGCCACAAGACGGCACTGGGAGACAGCGGCTTCGATTTTCCAATGCAGCACTGTTGGCTCAGTTTCTACCTTGCAGTGGTAGAAATCGAAGGAAGTCGAGAACCATTCTCTCGAGAGAACCGTCTCAAAGCCACCCAACAACCCAGCAAAAACGTCAAATCGCACATACCATTCCAAGATAATACGCGTCATTGAACTCTGCATGATGGTATGTGGCGTGTACAACTCTGTCAAGATCCGGTATGCCGCCTTCTGATGGCCAATCAGATTTACCCAGTCTCCAAGAAACTCCTACGATGCGTTAGACGAAGGAAAATGTATACGGGTTTGTAAATACCTCTATGGTTGCCAACTGTAACATTGCCAAGATGGTTCCATGACTATGTCGGTCGCCCCTTTTCAGTGATCTCAAAAGAAGTGAAACAGATTTGTTGTAGTATTGAAGGAAGTCCTGGATCTTTCCGCCTGAGATTTGGAGTGTTCTCTGAAAGGCCGAGAAGCCAACTATTGCATATAGCAAAGGCTCATTTTGCAAAGCAATATCCAAGAGCCTTGTGCGTATGAAATCTTCGGAATCATACTTGAGCGAGTAATGCAGATGGGTGATGTTTTCGTAAAAATAATCCAAGTAGAATTGGAGATCTGACGGCAGATGATTCCAATCCACCTTTTCTGATCCAGCTTGCCTTGGTAGTCGGGAATCCATGAGACTTTGATATGAGGAGTAACCCGTGGAGCCTTCACTAGATGGAGTAGGTGACGAGCCCTTGTCTTGTACTAACGAAGGTGTTTCCGAACTGCTTCGTTTTATTTCACCAGAAAATTTGCCGGCGTCAGCTTGTTGGGGTCCTGTAGGCTTCAGACTTTGGGACGCATTTTCGTCTGGCACAGTTTTCAGGTTTCGTTGAGGGCCTCCTTCATCTTCATCCGACGACGAGCCGGGACTTTCCTGATGCACGTCTTGTTGTAGTCTTGAGCCACCCCCTTTTGATGTAGGTGGTTCAGGGTAGACACATTCTCGCCCACCTTTCCTGCACCCTGGAATTGTGTCAATTTGGATGTCTCATGGTTGTTGTCAGGCTGGAACTTCTTACTTTCACATGTAGGATGTGCTTCGTCGCACTAATTTGTGTTAGCAAATGCCACGAGAAGAGTCATTTCATAGTCCATAGACTGGTGATTGCTCGTCATATATCCATTTTCCAGGCTTTAAGTCCAGGGGAGACCAATATCATTGTGCGAATAAGCTTAGAAAAACCAGAACCATGATTCCTTAGTCCTTCTAAGCCTTTTCGAATAATGATTTGACCATTCCCATATTTGGGAAACATGGACAATGAGGCAGTTTAGGCAACTGTCCCAACATAAAAACCGGATGTCTTACCTTTACTCTCCGACTTCTGCATGTGTAGCAACCTGAACGAGTTCGACGATGTTTGGTTTTTTCGGATCCTTGGGTTGATTTTCGACGATTTCGCCCAGGCTTTTGTATAATCATTGCAGGATCCTGAGCTCCAAATAGATAATTTAGGTCGGCATAGGAGCTGGCAGAACTCAATTGATGTGATGGCGAGGAATTCTGGGTCACAGGCCTCTCGCCAGGATGCGATGGATATATCTCGACATTGCTCACCCGTCGAATTGCTTCCTCATAACTAGGATTTGCCATGCTGGGTCTTCTAACACGCAGTGGTCGATGGTCAAGGCCAATTAGCAGCAAAAAAGCTTCGAAAAGTGCCAGTTCTGAGGCGAAGAAAAGTCAAAGATCCGACGTCTTCTACCAAACCCTAACCAGCGCAAAAGAGGCACTTAGCAGCCGGGCCTAAGCAAGGACTGGACGGTTTACGGTCCTATCGTGATGGGTTGAAAGAAGAAAGGGAGCCTTAGCAATGGTGATATTCCAGGGGCTAGGGTTGAGCTTTTGGCGAGTCTGGTGGCCTGTCAAGCTCCACTAGCGTTGTCGTCAGGAACTGACCTGCCTCAATGGTATTTGACCTACTCTGTTGGTGCTGGGTGGATTTTTGGGGATTGGTTCTACTGGTGTCGTCGGCCTAACGAGAGCTCCCTTGCGAATGCGTCTACGATATAAGAGCGGCAGGGGAGTGCGTCTTCGTCGCACAGATGCCGCTGCCAGAGTTCCGGGATTTTCTTGGGGAGCTGCGATTGACAAAGGCAGGCTGGCAAGCTGGCAGGCTCGCAGGCTTTGCGCCGGCAGTAGTAATGGTGTAATCGTGCTCGTACCCAAGTCGATGATCTGATGAAAGGATGTGAAACAGACGTTGAAGTGAGGAGATCGGAAGGAGCCTCGAGTACGAGTCCACGCTCCCGTCACCTCTAGCTGTCTCAACAATGAGCCAGGTCGCATGTGAAGTTCAATAGGTCACCATGCACGTCTACGCTACGTGCTCTACCGTATCTCGCCTTGGAGCGAGAGAGGCCCAAAGGTGGCACAATCGGCGTTTTGTTGGTGGACGGAGACAGGTTTCGGCAGGGCAGAGAAGACTATGACTGCCCTTTTTTTTCTTGTGGCGTCGGCGAGAGAAGGCCAAGAGAATTTGGGGCTTAGGAAGGTACCAATTCACCGTCACGGAAGACGTGTCATGGACGACGATACGGAGTATGGCAAGCCCATGGATCGAATGAACAGGCAAGCCGAAGTTGATGATGATACTCCAGGGCCTCCCCAGGCCTTGGTAGGTGGAACCAAGAAGGCAGCGCAAGGCAGCGCAAGGCAGCGCAAGGCAGCGCAAGGCAGCGCAAGGCAGCGCAAGGCAGCGCAAGGCAG